ATTTTTTTGAGCAAAAAACCAAGTAAGAAATACATTTTCAATTTTGGACTAGGGGCGACCCGAGTCAAAATCAATTTTGTCAATTTTTTACTTCGAGGGCATATCCAAATGGATTGAAACTTTGCATTAAAATTTTAGTGCTTAAAACAAATACAAATAAAACATCCTAGAATTTTTTTGAGCAAAGAACCAAGAAGGAAATACATTTTCAATTTTGGACTAGGGGCGATCCAAGTCAAAATCAATTTTGTCAATTTTTTATTTTGAGGGTTTATCCAAATAAATTGAAACTTTGCATAAATATTCTTGTGCTTAAAACAAATACAAATAAAACATCTTAAAAATTTTTTGAGCAAAGAACCAAGTAGGAAATACATTTTCAATTTTGGACTAGGGGCGACCCTAGTCAAAATCAATTTTCTCACTTTATTCTTCAAGGGTTTATCCAAATATATTGAAACTTTGCATAAATATTCTAGTGCTTAAAACAAATACAAATAAAACATCTTAAAATATTTTTGAGCAAAGATCCAAGAAAAAAATACATTTTCAATTTTGGACTAGGGGCGACCCTAGTCAAAATCAATTTTGTCACTTTTTTCTTCGAGGGTTTATCCCAATGAATTGAAACTTTGCATAAATATTTTTGTGCTTTAAACAAATACAAATAAAACATCCTAAAATTTTTTTGAGCAAAGACCCAAGTAGGAAATTCATTTTCAATTTTGGACTGGGGCGACCCTAGTCTTCGAGGGTTTTTCCAAATGGATTGAAACTTTGCATAAATATTCTAGTGCTTAAAAAAATACAAATAAATCATCCTAAAATTTTTTTGAGCAAAGAACCAAGTAGGAAATACATTTTCAAGTTTGGACTATGGGCGACCCTAGTCAAAATCAATTTTGTCACTTTTTTCTTCGAGGGTTTTTCCCAATGAATTGAAACTTTGCATATATATTCTTGTGCTTAAAACAAATACAAATTAAACATCATAAAATTTTTTTGAGCAAAAAACCAAGTAGGAAATACATTTTCAATTTTGGACTAGGGGCGACCCTAGTCAAAATCAATTTTGTCACTTTTTTCTTCGAGGGTTTATCCCAATGAATTGAAACTTTGCATATATATTTTTGTGCTTAAAACAAATACAAATAAAACACCCTAAAAGTTTTTTGAGCAAAGAACCAAGTAGGAAATACATTTTCAATTTTGGACTGGGGCGACCCTAGTCTTCGAGGGTTTTTCTAAATGGATTGAAACTTTGCATAAATATTCTAGTGCTTAAAACAAATACAAATAAAATATTCTAAAATTTTTTTGAGCAAAGAACCAAGAAGGAAATACATTTTCAATTTTGGACTGGGGCGACCCTAGTCAAAATCAATTTTGTCTCTTTTTTCTTCGAGGGTTTTTCCGAATGAATTGAAACTTTGCATAAATATTTTTGTGCTTTAAACAAATACAAATAATACATCCTAAAATTTTTTTGAGCAAAAAACCAAGTAAGAAATACATTTTCAATTTTGGACTAGGGGCGACCCGAGTCAAAATCAATTTTGTCAATTTTTTACTTCGAGGTTATATCCAAATGGCTTGAAACTTTGCATAAAAATTCTAGTGCTTAAAATAAATACAAATAAAACATCCTAGAATTTTTTTGAGCAAAGAACCAAGAAGGAAATACATTTTCAATTTTGGACTAGGGGCGATCCTAGTCAAAATCAATTTTGTCAATTTTTTATTTTGAGGGTTTATCCAAATAAATTGAAACTTTGCATATATATTCTTGTGCTTAAAACAAATACAAATAAAACATCCTAGAATTTTTTTGAGTAAAGAACCAAGAAGGAAATACATTTTCAATTTTGGACTAGGGGCGACCCTAGTCAAAATCACTTTATTCTTCAAGGGTTTATCCAAATATATTGAAACTTTGCATAAATATTCTTGTGCTTAAAACAAATACAAATAAAATATCCTAAAATTTTTTTGAGTAAAGAACCAAGTAGGAAATACATTTTCTATTTTGGACTAGGGGCGACCCTAGTCAAAATCAATTTTCTCACTTTATTCTTCAAGGGTTTATCCAAATATATTGAAACTTTGCATAAATATTCTTGTGCTTAAAACAAATACAAATAAAGCATCCTAAAATTTTTTTGAGCAAAGAACCAAGTAGGAAATACATTTTCAATTTTGGACTGGGGCGACCCTAGTCTTCGAGGGTTTTTCCGAATGGATTGAAACTTTTCATAAATATTCTAGTGCTTAAAACAAATACAAATAAAGCATTCTAAATTTTTTTGAGCAAAGAACCAAGTAGGAAATACATTTTCAATTTTGGACTGGGACGAGCCTAGTCTTCGAGGGTTTTTCCAAATGGATTGAAACTTTGCATAAATATTCTAGTGCTTAAAACAAATACAAATAAAGCATTCTAAATTTTTTTGAGCAAAGAACCAAGTAGGAAATACATTTTCAATTTTGGACTGGGACGAGCCTAGTCTTCGAGGGTTTTTCCAAATGGATTAAAACTTTGCATAAATATTCTAGTGCTTAAAACAAATACAAATAAAACATCCAAAAATTTTTTTGAGATAAGAACCAACTAGGGGCGACCCTAGTCAAAATCTATTTTGTCACTCTTTTCTTCGAGGGTTTTTCTAAATGAATAGAAACTTTGCATAAATATTTTTGTGCTTTAAACAAATACAAATAATACATCCTTAAAATTTTTTTGAGCAAAGAACCAAGTAAGAAATACATTTTCAATTTTGGACTAGGGGCGACCCGAGTTAAAATCAATTTTGTCAATTTTTTTATTTTGAGGGTTTATCCAAATGGATTGAAACTTTGCATAAATATTCTAGTGCTTAAAACAAATACAAATAAAACATCTTAAAAATTTTTTGAGCAAAGAACCAAGTAGGAAATACATTTTCAATTTTGGACTGGGGCGACCCTAGTCTTCGAGGGTTTTTCCAAATGGATTGAAACTTTGCATAAATATTCTAGTGCTTAAAACAAATACAAATAAAACATCCTAGAATTTTTTTTAAGCAAAGAACCAAGAAGGAAATACATTTTCAATTTTGGACTAGGGGCGATCCTAGTCAAAATCAATTTTGTCAATTTTTTTATTTTGAGGGTTTATCCAAATGGATTGAAACTTTGCATAAATATTCTAGTGCTTAAAACAAATACAAATAAAACATCTTAAAATTTTTTTGAGCAAAGAACCAAGTAGGAAATACATTTTCAATTTTGGACTGGGGCGACCCTAGTCTTCGAGGGTTTTTCCAAATGGATTGAAACTTTGCATAAATATTCTAGTGCTTAAAACAAATACAAATAAAACATCCTAAATTTTTTTGAGCAAAGAACCAAGTAGGAAATACATTTTCAATTTTGGACTGGGGCGACCCTAGTCTTCGAGGGTTTTTCCAAATGGATTGAAACTTTGCATAAATATTCTAGTGCTTAAAACAAATACAAATAAAACATCCAAAAATTTTTTTGAGCAAAGACCCAAGAAGGAAATACATTTTCAATTTTTGACTAGAGGCGACCCTAGTCAAAATCAATGTTGTCAAGTTTTTACTTCGAGGGTTTATCCAAATGGATTGAAACTTTGCATAAATATTCTAGTGCTTAAAGAAAATACAAATAAAACATCCAAAAATTTTTTTGAGCAAAGAACCAAGAAGGAAATACATTTTAAATTTTGGACTAGGGGCGACCCTAGTCAAAATCAATTTTGTCACTTTTTTCTTCGAGGGTTTTTCCTAATGAATTGAAACTTTGCATAAATATTCTTGTGCTTGAAACAAATACAAATAAAACATCCTAAAATTTTTTTGAGCAAAGAACCAAGAAGGAAATACATTTTCAATTTTTGACTAGAGGCGACCCTAGTCAAAATCAATGTTGTCAAGTTTTTACTTCGAGGGTTTATCCAAATGGATTGAAACTTTGCATAAATATTCTAGTGCTTAAAGAAAATACAAATAAAACATCTAAAAATTTTTTTGAGCAAAGAACCAAGAAGGAAATACATTTTAAATTTTGGACTAGGGGCGACCCTAGTCAAAATCAATTTTGTCACTTTTTTCTTCGAGGGTTTTTCCTAATGAATTGAAACTTTGCATAAATATTCTTGTGCTTGAAACAAATACAAATAAAACATCCTAAAATTTTTTTGAGCAAACAACCAAGTAGGAAATACATTTTCAATTTTGGACTAGGGGCGACCCTAGTCAAAATCAATTTTGTCACTTTTTTCTTCGAAGGTATATCCAATTACAGTGAAACTTTGTGTTAGTATACTAATATTTATGCAAAACAGTTTTAAATATCTTAAGCAAGAAATGTATTCTATATGTCGTCAGACCCAAATTTTATAAATTTGGTTCTACATATAAAAACAACGTGACTTAAATTTTTTCCAAAATTAGGTATAACTTTTGAACTGTGTCGATATGGGTCTCGGTCGTACTTCACGCCCACCCTTCAAACTTATGCTGAGCAAATCTTGGTATATCCATTAGACTTTTGATGGTACGGTGTGAATATATCTGCATTGGGTTTCTACCCGATACACTAGTTTTTTTATAAAGTATTTATTTTCAATTTTTAGTTTTAAGACAATTCATTTGAATACTTTACGTTAAAGTTCAATTCAAAGAAAGCCTCAATCGATTATCTGATTTTTTTTTCATCTCTAGATTAATTTTAAAGTCAAGCACTAGAAGCTTGACTTGTAATTTTTCAATCCTGTTATCTTTAGTTTAGCAAGCGTGCAAGTTCGTAGCTTTCTACGTAAGTCGTGTTTTTTTTTATATGATTAAGCATTTCTAATGTTCGTAAATTCTTGAAAAAACGATTACAAAAACTTAAATTTTGCTGACAAACAATCAATCAATCAATCAAACTAGTAAGAAAGCAAGTTAAGAAATCCGTGGTAAAAACGATAATAAACTTAAAATATTGAATAAACGTACCGTGAGGGCCTTGCTTTCCAGGTTCACCTTTTTGTCCCTGAAGCACATTTAAAAATAAAAATGACCAAAGTTTAGCAAATAAAATTTATTTTAACTTTCTTAGATATTAATTCTTAATTATAAAAAACTTAATCATACCTGAGGTCCAGTCGGACCTAATGAACCATGATCTCCTTGATTTCCTGAAAGAATCAAAATATAAAATAATGGTGAAAACGTTTATTGTAATTATTTCATGTGAAAACACACCTTTTGGCCCCGTATTTCCAGGTATTCCAATGGGACCTTGAAAAAGTAAAAAAACGTGTAAATTTTTAAATTTTCTTAAAATGGCTTAAAACTTACCAATCATCCCATGAGCTCCTTTAAAACAAAATAAATGCATATAGTATTTTTTTAAGTTTTTTTAATTTGAATAAGTATATATTAAAACTTGTGAATATTACCTTGTTTGCCTCTTGGACCACTCTATGAAAAAAAAAAGATCATTAGTAACATTAAAATTTCACACTGATCATTTACCTCTCCTTTGACCCCCTACAATTTGAAAAAAAACATGAGTTAAATGCATTTTGTTATAAATAGTTAAAAATAAAATTACTGGAGTGCCAGCTTCACCTCTTTCACCCTTTTCGCCTGTTGGAAATATTATATTAAGTTTTCAAAAAATTGTAACATTGTTTTAAATTTGCTCTAACCTTGAAGTCCTTCTGATCCTGGAGAACCAGTTAATCCTACAATTTCAAAATTATTAAATAAAATTCTCAATAAAATTGAAATATCAATTTACCTATAGGCCCAGTCGATCCAATTGCTCCAAGTTCACCCATTGATCCCTTTTCTCCCTTTATTCCTGGTGCTCCAATCTCTCCCTAAATGCGACAGTAAAGTTTATGATTTATTTATTAGAATTATCATGTTTCGAATAAAAGATATTTGTTTGAAATAATCTTATTTTATTTTAACATACTTTATCTCCATCTTCGCCAGGTAAACCCATTGGACCTACAAATTTTTATTTTAGACAATTATTTATATTATTCACTTTCTGTTTACATTACCTGGTGATCCATTCAGTCCTCTCAAGCCTTTATATAAAATAATGAAAGAAAAAATTTTATTGGTGGTAAAACATGTTTTTTGCATCAAACAATACCAGGAAGTCCATCTCGTCCGATTGGTCCCTGAAATCAATTTTAATACTAACATTAACAAAACTTTTACTCTCAAAATAAGCTTACAGTTGCTCCTGGCTCTCCTCTTTCACCCTTTAGTCCTGGACTTCCCGACAATCCCTGTGGTCCTATTACAAAGAAATTCATGGAAAATTTTCAAAAATCTTTTCTTTGACTTCTGATATTTGTTACTAAATTTACCAGTTCTTCCTTGAATTCCTTGCAAACCTTCTGCACCAGGTGGACCCTAAAGTATTATTTTCAGCATTATTTTTTTGTAATAATGTGTAGAAACAAATTTAAAAATTACTTGCTGGCCTTTGTCACCAATTGATCCTAGAAAACAAATATTATAGTCATTGCTTAAGTTTATTGGGAATAAAACTTTTTTTTAAATTAAATTGATTCATTTTAATATATTTGCATGTTTGCTGTTTTAAGTGTAAAACAATTTTTTTCGTGCAGTAAGCAATATTAATATTGGCAAAACATCCACGTGTGATGGATTTTACAAATATTAAACATTAGGTATAGTTAAAAGTAGGCTTTCCCGATTTTTCGGTACCAAAACCATGAATTTTAAACGCTCTTATTTTAAAGGTTTCAAATTTTCGGAAAGGATTTTATAGCGTTGGAAAAAATTCAAATTCTGAATGTGTTTTAAATGATATTTTGAAAAACATTTATTACAGTACAAATACACTGTTTTTTAAGAATTTTAACCACTCGATGTAGTAGATAAATCGGCAGGAACGGAGCTAATAAAAAAACCGAGGTCTCTACGAAGTCTGGTTAATGAGATCTCATATCTCAATTTTTCAGATCTCAAACTTGAAATCCCAATTGAAATCCCTCAATTATTCATCAAGTTTAGTAGGGATTTCAAATGGGATCTCGCTATCTTTAATACCTTCAAACTTATGCCTAGTTAAGCTCAGCTGACTCGTCAAGCTTTATACCTTCATATTTATGCTGAGTGAAGCTCAGCTGACTTATCAAGCTTTATACCTGCTAACTTATGCTGAGCGAATCTCAGCTGACTCGTTAAGCTTTATATCTTCAAACTTATGCTGAGGGAAACTCGCTAGCTTTGTACCTTCATACGATGCAGCTTTAAATCACCCACCGACCAGATTCCCCACGCAAATTTCCTCGAAGCCCCCACAAAACGAAAATCATGGGTTTCCAGAAACACCACTTGAAAATGAACGCGGTGTTTCTGGAAAACAGTGTTTTTCATAAACACCACATATATTTCCAAGTGGTGCATAAAATCACACGTGTGTTTTTATTCACCACGTACAATTGCAAGTGGTGTTTCTGGAAACACATGTGTTTTATATCACCCGAAAATTTTGTCTGTGGGCGTTTTGGAGATTAGTGTATTTTTTTTTGAAGTATGAAAAATAGTGAAAAACTTATGTTTTATTCTAATTTTTAAATGAAAGCTTAATTTTTGTATAAAAATTTTTTTTATAGTTTAGAGTCCTTCACAAATTCGATCACTGGGAATATTTTGGGTGGTTTTTGCTTTTCTTGTCATGGTAACTCGGTTTGTGCTATTCGCGACGTGCAAATTGAGGCTAGGTACTTTGCATTGATATACATTTGGTCGTGCAACTGTGCAAAAAAATGCTGGGTTAAAAGTTTGGGTTTTTTATGATGATTTATGATAATATGACTCTTAAAACTCAAAAATTAATGTTTCATAAACTTTTTGCGATTTTTGATTTTTCACCAATGCTGGTTTTTGAGATAAATATTTTTTCATTCTGTTTTCGATTATTATTAGCTGATAATAAAACCTTTAAAATAATGTCATCATAAAAAACCCAAAAACAATACTTAATTTTGTTTCTAAGTGATATTTCTAGAAATGACGTTTTTGAAATTTTTGCTACTTTGGGGTCGGTCACAAACAAAGCTTATATTCATGACCAAGATCAATAATAATCATCACGTATTATACATCGCTAGAAAGGTACTGATCTAAGCTACAGTTAATTGAACACAAAACTAAAATATATTGAGCCAAACAAAAGTTTGAGCAGTTTGAATGTTGGGAAAAGCATACAAGTCGTCAAATATCAAAAGTACCCTTTATCTCGACAGATTTTCAACTTTTTGAAAAAGTTTCTTCACAGGTTGTCTTTAAATGGCATTTAACGTTGAAAAACATCAGAAAACTTATTTGTAGTTAATCATTTGTAATTTATATTACAAATTCAAGTTTTTGACGAAATATTCAACGACTCACTAAAACGCAAATAACTTTTTATGTAGTGTGTCTAGGGAAAAAGTTTATATGGTTTTGAAAACTAAAAATTAAAGGCTACACGCCAATGTTATTTTACCCCTTATTACTCGACCATCTAAGGCACTTGCGGCGTGTTTGAAGATTATTTTTGCAGAATTTTCATACATTTCCTACCATACGAGTACCAAAATAAAAAAATTTATGGGCTTGTAGTGTAATTTAATAAAGCTCTTATATTAAGTTATTAGTAATCGAAAACAGTTTTTCAATATCTATAATCGTCATAGCCTACTTTGAATTTAAACATCAAGTGAAAAAATCAGAATTTTCACTCATTTTCAACTTTAAACAGCCACAGAATCGTAGAAACAGCACCAAATGACTTGAAATTTGTCATAGAAGTCTATTTTTACGTCTACTATAAGAAAAAAATACCTTGAAGTCATAATTCAAAACTTTTCAAAAAATTGGTGAATGTCCGAATTTTTTTTTTTTTGCCCCATAGTGCGACAGGATATGCAGGGATTTTCGGGATTAATCCCGAGATTACACGCTTTTCCATTAACTTTACCACATAAAGAAATATGTCTTTTTTCGTTATTCTAGAAAAATGTCGCGACATATTGGTGTGTACGCATAGTTTGGAATTAACTGTTAAGGTTTAACCTAGCAATACTATTTATGTAGATATTAAAAAACATGTAATTTGTTACCTGCAAATCCTTGTGGGCCCATTTCTCCTTTTAAGCCTGTAAAATATATATATATAAAAAAATTTATGAAATTTAAATTTATAAAATTTTTTCTGTAAAATGTATATATATATATATAAATTTTTAACTTAATGTTTTTATGCTTTTTTTACCCTGCAATCCAGGAAGACCAGGAAATCCTCTTTCACCTGAAAAGCCCTGTTTGGTTTGAAATTTTATAAGTTTAGATATTATTTTAAATAATAAAATAATATTCCTTACAGGTGGCCCAGATTGTCCTTTATATGAAAATAGATTCAGAAATGGAATATTTTAGTTTTTGTAATATAATTTAAACATGTTCTGCTTTTACCAGGGGGACCCGATTTTCCTACAAACAATATAAAAGAAATTTCATCCGATTAAATTTCAATGTTTGATTTTTGAAATAGAAAATTTGAAATACCTATCGGTCCTTGACTTCCTACTGGACCTAAAGTATTTGATAGAAATAAAAAATATTATTTAAAAATATAAAATATTTTTTAATTGTCAAAAATTCTCTACTTTAAAAGTCAAAAATTTTGATAATTATAGATACTTTTGTTTTCATAACTCCCTGTTATTTTAGAATGACAATTTATTAACAAGTTTTAAAGGTTAAATTCCAACAATAGTTTTACCCTTAAAGACAGTACTTAATATACAATCCAAAACAAACCTTCTTTTCCTGCTTCGCCAGATACACCTGGTTCCTATAATAATTTTTTTGTCTAGAAAAAATATTAATTGTTGCAAATAACATCTACAAACCCCAGGCTGACCAGAATTACCTAATTTTTAAAATTATTAAAGTTAAAGAAAAATAAATTAACAATGTTTGTATATTTTTATATTATTAACAAACCGGGTAATCCAGGTTCTCCAATCAAACCCGTCTGAAAAATTGAGAGAAAAAACTAGTATACTTATTTGTTTATATGTGACATTATATCAACCAATACCTCTCCGGAAGGACCTTAAATAGTTTGAATTAATTTTAAATTCGTGTTAAAACTGATTAGAAAGAAGTAGAAGTTTAAACTAATTACCGGGAAGACCGACTTGGCCAACTATCCCAGGAGGTCCAGTAGCTTGAGAGTTAAATTTAAAAGGTTAAAATTAATCTATGCATAATTAATAAAGAAGGTATTATTGAAATCAAACAAACCTCCAACATCACCACGTTCACCTCTTTTTAGGTTTAAAATCAAATTAAATCATTCAAATCATTTTTGATTAATTATTGAACATCACAACTTTTACCTTTCGCCTGGTGGACCTCGATCTCCTGGTTTTCCATCTTTTCCAGATTGACCGACAGGGCCTTTTTTAAAAAAAAGAAAAGTTTATATAATATTTTCTTGGCTTGAACATTTTATAAAAACTTACCTTGAATTCCTTTTGTACCTTTCTCTCCTTGAATTCCCTACAAGATAAGATCTTATTTATAAACATAATTCTTAAATTCTTAAAAAATATTTATTATTTACTTGTTCGCCTATTAATCCTCCAGGTCCTTTAAAAAAATATCGATTGAAATGAAATCGTTTGAAAAATATTAATTATTATTAATTCCATCGCTATTAATTCACCTGGCATTCCTGGGTCTCCCTGTTTATATAAATATAATTTTGTGTTAGTTTCGGATTTATATCGTTAAAAATTATATATGAGCTAACCTTTGATCCCTGCAAGCCATTGCTACCCGTTCGACCTCGAGCTCCTCTAAATCCCTTATGTTTTTAAAAATTGAATTTTAGAATCAAAATACTCAAATAAGTTACAAAAAACAAACCCTTGGTCCTGTTTCACCTCGTTCTCCTATACTCAATTTATAGAATCATGAGATTAAAAAATTACAAAAATTTCAAATAATGAATAAAACCTTGCTGTCCAGAATTCCCCTGTAAGAAATATTATAATTATTTATCTTATTTTTTGATTTTTAATTTCTTTTTACCCTTTCACCTAAGAAGAGAAAAAAAACAAGGATTCAATGTTGAACAAATTTTTTTTAAAAAAAGCAAACAATTTTTTACCCTTTTGGCCCACAGGTCCATTGCTTCCAACGCTACCTTTGTCACCTATTTATTAAAACATAATAATATTAAATTTATGATATTAAAATTAAGCGTCAAGTTTGAAGATTTACCCTTTTCACCCGTAGACCCTGGGTATCCTGAAAATCCTTGAGGCCCTTGCTTTCCTAAGGAAATTATGAAAATGAATTTATGTGTACATGATATTAGTAAAATCTGATAATACCTTTTTCTCCGGGTAATCCAATCGCTTTATATATGGTGAATTAAATCATGTTAATATCAAAGATTTTTAAAATACTTAACCATCATACCTCCTGCTTCGCCTGAAATTGTGTAAATGAGAAAACAATTGAGAAAATGGTAATATGTCAAAACTCCATATTATTTGGACTTCGAAGTTATTCAAAGTCGGTGGTAATGAAAGGCACCATTATTTTACCTCTTACTCCTTCTGCTCCTTTCGGACCCTCAGGACCTTCTAAACCTAAATTTTTAAATTTCATTTTATTTAAAATTCCACAAAATCATCATCATCATAATTATTATAGAGAGCCAAATTTCATGTAAATATCAAGATACATATTTTGTTATTAAAAGGATACATAAAAAAATCAGCGAAAAACCAAGTTTAAATGTCAATTTTCAAACCTAATAATCCAATGGGCCCTTGTAGGCCAATATCACCAGATTCTCCGCGATCTCCTTTTTCTCCGTCTTCACCTTTTTATCCAATAAAAATAAAATTTTAAACAAATCAATTTTACTTTGCTGCCTTTCTACCATACTTGCCTTTTTGACCTCTGTCCCCCTTTTCACCCAAAGCTGATGCAAGAAAGTGTTATTTTTTATTTGGATTAATTGATTAAGAAGCTTTAAACTTTACCTCCTCTTGCACCAGTGTCACCCTTTGGACCTTAAATGAAATTTAATTAAGCTTTTTATCACGATAAGTAAATTTTAAATGGTGTTACCACGACTTCCAGGAAAACCAATTGGACCCTAGAGAAATATATTAAGTACAATTTTAAATAAAATTTTATTGATTTTTTTTTTGTCAATATGAGCTTACTTGACTGCCTATTTGTCCTGGTTCACCTTTTTGACCCATACTTGAAAATAAATAAAACATTTAAGAAAAACGTTTTTTTTTTGTTTAAAAATCTAAAAGCTGTTCTTTTACCTTCCGGGATTTCCTACTCTTCCGTCAGAACCCTTGTTTGATATTTTTAAATGAATACTTTATTATTTTAAAAAGCATGTAATAAATCACTTACAGGGGACCCTGGGCTTCCAGGATATCCACTTTTTCCTAAATGTTAATTGTAGATTTATGATTTTTTAAAACTTTTAACTGTCAATGCCACATTTAGCAGAGATTACGAAATGTTACCTGTTGGCCCAGGTAAACCTTGACTTCCTTGACTTCCAGATGGACCTAAAGTGATACTGTCATGATAATTCCTTAAAAACATTTTTCTAAGAAAATATTTACCTGGTGGGCTATTGATAGATAAATTTTATTTTTATTTTTTTTTTTTAATAATATAAGCTTAAATCAAACTTACCCTGGTGGTCCGAGAGGACCTTGAATTCCAACTGGACCAGGGATACCAATCAGTCCAGTGTTTCCTTTGCTAAACAATAATTGTTTATTATATGAAGTAAATATCTATTGATTGAATAAATTTACCTTCCGATTGGACCTTAAAGAAAAATTATAACGATTATTGGTAATGAATTAAAAATAGCACAATTATTGATTTCGCAAACCTTCATTTCCTGGAATCTAAAGAAATTTTAATGTAAGTTATTAATACCATTTTAAAACTTTCATGACATACCCCTGGATTTCCGATTGGACCTAAACATTTTAAATTTTTGTTAATTAATTGTGAATCATTTCATTTAACATGAGATAACTTACCTGGTATACCCCTAGGACCTAATTTAAATGTGAAAATAAGAATTTAACATTTTAAACTTTAAATAGTTTACTAAAATTTGGTAACAATACAGCACCTGTAAATCCACGTGGACCAATTTCTCCGATCATTCCTTGCAGGCCCTTTGAAATTCACTTATCTTCATTTAGATTAAACTATAATAATAGTAAAAATTCGTTTACCTGTGGCCCATCATCTCCTTGTGTTCCTTCATTTCCCTTTTCTCCCTATTATTTTAAATATAAAATTCAGTCATAAACAACAAGTTAATCAATATAACTCCTAACCTTTTCTCCTACTAAACCTGTTCGACCTCGATCCCCCTTTTCACCTTTTTTTTATTTTTGAAATAAAGTTAATTTTATTGTAGTGTTAAGTTTAAATGTATTCTTACCTGGAAGTCCTATTAAACCAGGGACCCCAACTTCTCCTTTTAAACTTTAAATTAAGCAATTTTAATAAATGGATAGTTCTATTTTGAAAAAAATATACCCTTGGCTTCCTACTGGTCCTCGATCACCATCTCTGCCATCACGTCCTATTAAAATTTTTCATTTTTATTTCAAATTTTTTAAATACATCTATTTTTAATGAATCTAACCTCTCTTTCCAATCGGTCCAGGCAACCCGATCAGCCCTATGATATTAATAAATCCTAAACCATTTAAATACATTTTATAAAAAAAGAATTTAACCTCTTGGCCCAGGTAGGCCTAATTCACCCTGGTCTCCTTGTTCCCCTTTTGGACCTTAAAATTTTGGGATAGTTCAAAATACATTTTTTTAAAAAAAAATATCAACATAAATTTAAAACACCATTCATACCAGCTTCTCCTATTTTTCCTTCCAAACCAGTCGCACCTGTTAAGCCATGCGGGCCTTCTGGACCTTTCATTGCAAGCTTTAACAATTTTTTTTTTGTTTATTTTATAACAGAATTTAATTAAAATATAAAGTTTTTACCATATGTTGAGCCAACATTTGACGGAAAGCTTCTGCTTGCGTGTCTGGTCCTTTCTCGTTCCCGTTATTTTGACCAAGTGGTATGATAAAAACATGTCCAGGAGCGCCAGGTGCTAAAAAAATTTATATCCAATTACTATATATGACAACATTGTTAAGATTGCTATAGTTACATCCAGACAATCCTGATAAACCTTCTCTGCCATCAAGACCTATAATGTAAAAAAAATAGTGTAGAAATTACTAAGAAATTTTTGAAGAGTTTTCAAACCGATTTCTCCCTTTTCTCCTTTTTCTCCCTTCTCTCCTTTAAAACCTAAAATTTAGATAAAACTTTTTAATTCTGTTGCTATCAAATAACCATAAATTTACCAATCGGCCCGGGAATAGATTTAAGTTTAACTCCATTCACAATTTTGGTGTAGCTTTCATTTACACTTTTCTATAATCAAAATGATTAATATTTAATGGTTGCAATTGCTAGAATAAATAAAACGTACAATATTTTCCTTCTGATTGTATTCTGACTCTACCACATAATTATCTTCATTATTGTTCACATTTACACCATCGATTTGGTCTTCATTTTCATAAGATGGTGACAACGTAGTGAAAGCATCATCTTCATTTCCAGAATTTAAAGAATCGTAATAATCATCTTCTCCATTCAAATCGAGATTTATATTTTCTAATTCAAGAGAATCATGGGCTGCATCATTAACTTTCAGCATGTTTACACTTCGTGATCTTTCCGTTTTCCTAATATTTAAAGTTTTTGTTTTATTTCTTTGATTCATTGATAATGAATGAAGCTTTAAGTTATTATTTTTGGCTCCATCATTCGCAGGAGAAGATGACGGATAATTTGAACTTGGTGTATGATTAATACTCGATGAACAATCAGGAGAATATTTTGTACAAATTTCGTAAGCAGTATCTGGTTTACTTGTTATTCTTAATAGTTGTATATCTCCCTATAATATGTATATATAATAATAATACAAATATCGTTTATTTATTATTTTAAAGATCAAATGTACAAATTTTTACCGTGAAGTATTCTTCGTCTTCATCTAATTGAACTCCCATAAAAAGTAATCCATCAGTATAAATTCTTGAAGTAATTGATCTAGACAACTTTCTTGTGATTTGTTTATCACAATCAAATATTATTGTAATGGAGTTTCCTTTTATGCTTATTCCAATTCGATGCCATTTCAAATCATTGGTTGTTGAGTCGAAGCTTATCATATTATCGTCTATCATTGACTCATCTTGATACAGAAGAGATATCTGTGAACCCACATAAAATACAAGAGATTCTTCACTTTCTGATGTGTAAATTGAAAAAACTGGAGCTCTAGAAAATTTTTGTTTAGCTTTCAATGTAACAATAATCGAAAAGTCTATGGGAAATCCTTTAGGAAATAACTAAAATTTACAAGAAAAACATTTATTTTTAAAAAAAACATAGAAAAAAAAAGATTTTTATATATTTACATCAGATGACGCAACTGTTATCATCGTTCCTTTATTGATTGAGTAAGCTCCTGCTTTATAATTTTGATAAGAATTTCGAAGCATGCCGCACATGCCAGCAGTTTCATTGACTCCATTTGGAAGGTTGGGGATGCCCAATCTTGTTATCAAGTCAATGCCTTCATCTAATAAAAATATTTAAAAATAATGATGCGATAACATTTTAACTGCTAAAGTTCAAGTTATGGTTTGATTATTTGGAAAACATTTTTTTTTTCATTATCAATTAAAAGAATTCCCTACGTCATTTTTGAAAAATACGTTTCTTAATTGATAAAAGTAATAATTGATATTTACTAATATTTACACATAATTTTTGTGCTTAAGCAAAATTTTAACGTGTGATTTTGATTTTTATATTCACACCGTTTTCACGTGTGAATCTATTGGTTTTGTTCAGATTGAAAAATCAGTTTTTCACATTTTGCGAGGAAATGGAGCAAGCTTAATATGTTCAACGATGAAAAGTTTGTGCCTGAAATTTCACATCTTCTGCAAAAAACAGATTTCAAATTGGTTAAGGCATTGCTGAGAAAATCGCAAAACCCGCTTTCTGTAAGCAAGCAAACAAGCAAGTTAATCAGCAAGAAATCTCAATAACGAGACATCGTAGAGACTTCTAGTTTTATACATTTGATCCGTGCTGACTTATAGAAGAGCTGTTTTGCTTTTGAGCAAGGTAGAAACAGCCGTTGCTTGAGAAAAAGCAAAAAACTTTCCTTTCTTACGAATTTTTTAAAACAAAAGTTCACTGTGATTTTTATAAAATTCAAATTTGGATGAAAATTTTTTTAAAAAACTTTTAAAGAATATTCGTCAAGCTTTAAACTTTCAAACTTATGCTGAGCGAAGCTCAGCTGACTTATCAAGCTTTACACCTTCAAACATATGCTGAGCAAATCTTTGTCTATCCATAAGACTTATGATGGTACGGTGTGAATATATCCGCATTGGGTTTCTAGCCGATACACTAGTTTTTCAATTGATTTACGTTTTAAACCAGGATATTTTTAAATAATTAAAAACCGCAAATGAAATGTGAGCATCTTTTACTGTGAATAAAAAGAATTTATATATCTTCTTATGCAAAGAACCATTTCCAAACTTTAAACATTAATTTTATCTAAGCAGCCAACTTAGGACTAAGGTCTCTCATTTTTCGATATTTTGTCCCTCATTCTTAGTCTATAGAAATTTTATAATAAGTGCAAGAACGTAATGTTCTCGCCTGAGTACATTCATTGAGTAAACTGTGTAAATACCACACTCATGACAGTTCATTCAGCATAAAAATTAAGTTTATATATAAAAAAGTAAGTATTGGAAAACCTAAACAAATAATTGATTAAAAATCTAATATGATTTGAGTTTAAAATTAAAATGGCGCAAATGGGGTTGAAATAAAAAGTGACATTTGTGATAACAAAAATTGAAATTGAAATAATCTTTGGGGATAGAAAGGAAGTTTTAAATTTTCATATTTTAAATAAACTTTCACTTTTAGAGTCAAAATTCCAACTTTGTAGATTGAATTATCGAAATCGAGTTTACTCTAGTCGACTTGAAGTCGATTGAAATTTAACCGTGTGTGAATGTGAGGTTTATGTAGATTTTGATTAATTTTTATTGCGATTAAACGAAATTTAAGAAACGTTTGCTGAATAAAAAGAAGTTGATTGAATTTGAGCTAGAAGTTGCATTTTTGCAGCAAAATTTTTCGTACATCCTTGAAAATGTAAGTATCCAATACGTCAACAATGTACATAGATATTCTACCAGAAAAAATGAGGTTAAAGTAACACATAGAACACATACTCAGCTATAAACAATGAATTTCTTTGTAAGAGCCTTCTTACAATATAATAATTTGCCTGATCACAATAAATGCCAAGAATGATAAGTAAATTTAAAACGATACTGCGCGAAAATATACATGTAGGTGCTATGGCGAAATATAATAGCTAGATTCAGAAAGTAAAGTTAATAATCTCTTTAAATACAATTTTTAAATACATATTATATAGTTTTATACTACAATTTTGTTATGGAATCAATAAAAATAAATAAATATGTTTAAATATACCTAAAACATTGCAATCGCTGTATCAAGGTGCAGATAATAGGACGAAAAAATTTAAATGCAGGACGGAAATGGACGTAATCTGGACGAAGTTTCAGCACTCCTAAACAACCACGTCCTTCACAGACTTAAACTCGAAAAGTAAACTCATGAGCGCATACTGTCTTAAAAAGTCACTCTACCTAAGCATATTCAAAATGTGCTCAAGAGTACATGAAGAATAATCTGTGTTTCCTGTTGCTGTACTTAGAGCATGCTTAAGAGTGTACTCAATGAATGTACTCAGGTGAGAACATCCCGTTATTTTTTTATTATGTGTATTAGAGTATGCTCTCCTTCCATACGAATTCTTTTGATATTACAAAAATAAGTCATATCACAAAGTATGGTAATGACATGGTTGCAAAAACACAGAATAAGTTTTTAGCGCATTTTCCTTAGGAAACAATGCGCTTAAAGGTCCACTTTGGCTGGCTAGCTGACTGCCTCAAAAACTCGAACCACATATTTATTTTTCTTAATTCCTCATATTATTAATTAAATTAACTATTCTGTTTTCTATTATGTACATAATAAATTTAAATTTCAAAGAAGTTTTAAATTTTGTTTTCTAGCTTTTATTTTTTTTTTAAAAATCCAACAAGTTCCTAGATTTTAGTTCCGGACATGACTTATAACCAACTGGATCATGATTTAAAATTTGAACATGACTTAAATTTTGGATTTTGGTTTTTTAAATCTGTTTGACATATTATGCGAAAAAATGTGACAAATCACAGATAAATGTCAAAATGTGTCAAACATATTTTTTAAGTTCGCACATCAAATGTGACACATATATGCGCATATTCTGCAAAACTGAATATATTTTTGCAACCCTGGGTAAAGGTGTAAAATAGTTTTAAATTTTTACTTACTTTCATCATCGGCTATTGAGTATTCTAATAATGAACAACAAAGCAATGTCAAAATAATGACATTTTTGGTGAAGTGAGTAAAATATATTTTTAATCTCATTTTCAAAAATTTAATGCTCCGAATGCCGTATTCACATAATATTTTAGTTTGAGTGTATTCTTTCAACTTATTATCAAATTTGAATTCTAGAGAAAAAAAGATTTAAAGAAAAAAAAATCAAAAGTTATTGGAATTTTATTTGGTTTTAAAATCACTTTTATGTTTATAATAAATATTAAGAACTGAATATTATTCCTGCTACACCTATTTTTTTTTTAAAGGTAACAATAATTTTAATCATATGCATATAGATGTATATATAATATATTTGATCCTTTTTAACTTTTATTTATCATAAATTTCATTTTGAATATTGAGAGTTTATATAATTGTCACTCATTAATCGCTCAATTTTGCAACTTTTTCTCACAAAAACTAATTTTCTCATTGAGTATTCCTCACATTCACCGAATTTAATTGATAACATTTTGACTTTTTTGAGGAAGTATTGAAATAACTATCTTCAAAATTACTCTCATTTTAAATTTTTTTATAACTTATTCATTTTTATCTGTTTTTAACTGATTTATAAGTTGTATTATTTTTCATGAAATATTTTAAGAAATATTATTATCAGGTGTAAATATATTAACACATAATAAAAAGAAAAACAAATTAAAGTAATTTGTAATAAGATAACCTTTAACACTAAGTAATTAGAATATCACAGAGTCTGTCTCCTTCCTAAGATTTTCCACTTTGTCACTCTCACTACTCTCTCTTGTTCTCATTAAACTTCACTACTTCACTTCACTTCACTTAATCACTTATTTCACTTGTTCACTTACCAATTTCAGCCGAAAAACTAAATTTGTTCTAAGATTGAACGCTGCTTTTATACCCAGTGGCTTATCAAAATAAATATATTTAAATGTCAAAAAAAAAATGTGCTGATAATTTAAAAAAAATTGTTTGAATATTTTTATATTAGATTCTTACGTTTGTGTTATTGAAATTATATTTTAAGATTTTTAAAAAAATCCATTCTCTTTTTATATTGCCCAATTTTAAAGAAGTTGATATCCACCTGACTTAGAGCATTTCATAAATAATTTTGCAGAAATAAAATGTGTGTATATATCTTCAATAAATATTACCTGACATGACACGACTTAATACTGGCACAATGATTTTTGATTTTAGTACCGATAGTAGAGAATGTTGTATCAATATTGATATTTATGTTCAGAAGCGTCAAAATTGATTTGGCCATGTTTGTACAATAATGCCAGTTAAATTGAAAAACGTGAATGCTACTCCTCAAACAATTGGCATGCACATAAAAATTTATAGAAATTTATTGGTTTTTGTGATCGTGTTTACCCTTAAATTTTTTAACACCAACAAGGCATAGTTTGTATTTTGTTCAAATAAAATATAAGACAGACTTGTTTAAAATAAGAATTCTTGCAAATTTACTATTATTCCAAGCTTTCATCCACTTATTAAAAAATTACCGGCTTCTATCTGTTTCGTTCTGATTTCATCTAGTTCAAAAAAACTAATAATAATGTTTTATTCCTTTGTAATGATCTATGAATCCTACTAAAAAATGTTCCAATACATTATAAAAAAGAGGATCTTTAAAATTGTGAAATAAATGTTTCATTAATATTAATTAAGGGAAACGTGGTAAAAACTACAAAGCCACTACATTTTTATTATGTATATTAACATTTCCCAAAACATTATAACAGGACTAAGGAGGAGCAAATGATAATAAATAAAAAAAATTGTGGGAAACGCAAGCATTAAATGGGGATTTACAAAATTGAATAAAATAACAAGCCATAAGCTCTATAATAGCGCTAATGTAAGATGTTCGTGATCAAGAATCGTTTTGGCAAAAAATAAAATGTTTTCATCCGAAAAGAAAATTTCACTTCATTAATTTGATTTAATAATGGATGAAAAATCCTTAGTATTTTGAGATTCTCATCAAATATGATTTTATATTTACGTGAAGATTGTGCTCATGTATTGGTTTCTAAGTTAAAACTTTTGAAAAAATTAAATATTAAAAAAAATTCAATGAAGTGTCAGCATTAATTCTGCTATTTAATCTGGTTACTTTTTTCAATGAAATTTAAGAAAAATGCTAAAAGCGAAACAGTAATAAATTACAAAGGTAAAAAGCATGATTAATTATGTGTTTAGCTTAAGAACATACAATGTCAACATGTGGATTTTCACACCATAAGAAAGATGTAAGTAAGTTTGAGTTGCTTTATGTATGAGCTTCTTAATTCACGACTTAGAAGTTTTTAGACCTATGCATTAAATGAATAAATAAAAGGATAAAGCAGAAAGCAGTAAAGCACTCGTAGACAAAAAGATATGAAACTACATTATTCATCTCTCTAGTCTAAAGTCTATTCTTATAAACCACAATGTTATGAATATTATTGAACAAATTATATAATTTTGTAATAAAACTCAATTTAATGTGTATATGAGCATTCTAAGATTTTCCGACGGTATCTATTAAGCTTTTGAATGAAAAAATTCTCACAATATACTGTGGGGGTGTTACTAAAATAATGCTTTTGATTAGATACGAAGAAAGTAAAAAACTAACGTAAAATGTGGAGACGCGCCTTTTTCATTTTTTGGCTCAAAGTTTTAGCCATATTGCTTCCCAGTGTTGCTTTCTGACTGTATTAATGTGACCGCAAAAAAGTCGCAAGGCGTACATGTACATGCTTCGATGAGAAATCAAACAGCTGTGGTGATGCTACTTTTTTTGTAAAATATCAGAAACTCAACAAGGCACTCGATAAAATTCCAGAGCTTTTATCCACACTCATGTGTATATACGTATAATATTTACTCATCCTTCTTGTTTCATGTATGTAAGTTAAAACACAGTGTGTTTGTGCGTGTATGTACAAATCGCATATTGTTTAATTTTCGAAAGAGTCATTATGATAAAAAGTCCATGTTTTCATTTCAAAAAGTCCAAACATCATTATGATCTGTTGTATATATGTTAGGTATGTAGTAATGACATTCATATATGAATAAATGGATAAAATACTTTTTTATGACTATGGACAAATCTATATTGTATGAAAGAAAAAATACCACTGAAACAAAATACAGAATAATTTATGACAGCTAGGATTAAGGATGGCAAAAAGTATAGTCAGTAACTAATTCAAGTGCCAAACTGACAAATCTCCATTCTTACGATATCTTGCTTTTCATTCATTTTTTGTGCTTTCTCTTTCTTACATATGGATATAAGTTGAAAGAGAGAAATTTTTACTTCATGTAGAAAACCTCTTTTGCTCTCATATATTCATTTAAAAATGACTAAACAACATACCACGCCCAACTGAACAATTTAACATTATAATTTCTCCATCAACCCTCTTTCTGATTTTTATTATAACAACCGCACTGAAACACACTTATTCACTTCGTGCTAGCTGGCATTAAAATTTATTAACATGCCGTCGATATGATAAGATATTTGGATCTTGGTGAAAATGTATAACAGAGAAAAGTCTCATCATCAAATTGTGTTGTGCAGTAGAAGAGGATAAACGTATTTATTAATTCAGAAAAAGTTAAATTGTGAAAAAGTGATAGTTTAGAAAATCAAGAAATCTTAATCATGAATAATATTAAAAATACAGTGGATATAAAAGTTTAGTGAAATATTAGAACTTTTTAAAGAGTAACTAATAACTTAAAAGATAACAAGATAAAAAGATTGAATTTTAGCAAAATTGAGTCAAAAAAAGTGGATTATTTTGATTTAAAATATAGAAAAATGGGAACAGGTTAGACATTAATAAGTATACCTTTAAAAAATTAACATACAATTTAAGTTGCATCAAATAGTGTTTTCAAATAAATATAATTATAACTTCAGTTTGTGATTGATTTAAAGTGATCATAAATATGCATATTCACACGGATTTTTTCTTTAAAAAAATAACACTTTTCTGACATGGCAGTGATTTTAAATTACTCTAAATCTCGATCATACGCTTAGTAATAACAACAAAGAAGAACATTTTAATTTTTATAATAATAAAAAGGCAAATAAGAAAAATAAAAGATTGCGACATTTCTGCATTTACAGTCATGTATTTTCACAAGTGTTTTCCCTCCCCTAGTTTTTCAATTGTTCGTTAACACTCGACTGCTTACCCTTTTGCTTTTTGCCCGCGTTTGTTCATCTCAATTTTTAATGTAAATATTGAAGTTTGAATTCATCCACCTAATTTTATTATGTTCGAGGGCGTTAATCCCTAGAAAATATACCTCATTTCCGGATAATAAACAAAAGGCGTAATGCATAAGCGTGAACCAACAAAAAAATCTTTTTGAGATACTCTTCGCAATCTACATTATTTTTCTATTTGTGAAAAGATAAATTGACTAAGCAGAAAATGAACAAATCAGTACTTACAACCGCTAGCAGAAAAAAAAAACGTTAACCATGGATTTGCTGTTAATTAAGAAGTGATGTTTGAGCAAGAAAAAAAAAATCAAACAGATACTAATCGTTATTTGCAAAAACATCTTACCTAATCTAATTTATATTTTCACGTTCTTTTATCTTTTTATGCTTACTACATCAAGGTGATAGATTGCTAGACATTCCTTGTAAAGTTTGTGGTGATAGAAGTAGTGGTAAATTATTATTTTGAAATAATCAGTTTATAGTATAGTAATAAACAATGTATTTTACTAATAGGGAAACATTATGGAATTTACAGTTGCGACGGTAAGGTTAAAAATAGTTTTTGTTTCATATTTTTTTTAAAACCTTTTATTTGATTTTTTAAAAATCAGGATGTTCTGGTTTCTTTAAAAGAAGCATTCACAGAAATAGAGTTTATACATGTAAGGCAGCCGGTGAACTGAAAGGAAGATGTCCTGTTGATAAAACCCATAGAAACCAATGTCGTGCATGTAGACTTTCAAAATGCTTTCAATCAGCAATGAATAAAGATGGTTAGTATATATTTTTTTTTTAAATGTTTTCCAATTAAATCCTCTTAAATTGTTAATTTAGATACCATTTCATTATTTTTAACATCATGCTTGTCGTGAAACAACTAAATATTTTTAAACCTAGTTGCTAAAGAAATGTTAAAAATATAAGTATTAGATGAGCATAATTAAAATCGTTTCAAAATGAAATAATGTTTTTTAATTACAAATCTGTAAAATTAAATACAATTTTAAAAATTTTAAAGATAAAAAAGCTTTCTTTTGAATAAGTGAACAGCTCCTTTCTAATACCTATGCATATTCTGTAAAACTAATAAAAGTTAAATTTACAACATGGTTAAACCAAAAGATGTTTTTAAAAAATCTGCATGAACTGTAAAAACTGAGTGATAGATCTACGAATATTTGTTGAAATAAGGGTGAGAAAAACTGAAAGATGTTGCCCTTAGGACACAGAAAAGTTTCCGTTTGCACTACCGCAAAAATTGAAATGACGAGATATGTTAATTACAAATTCTTGTTGAAAACTGTATTCTGTGTAGTTCTAGTACTACATTATGTTGATAATGTACGTATAGAACTATAGAAAATGACACGAAAAGTTCTTAAGCGATAAAATAAATTAAAACATGAAACGGCATTTTGAATATTTACGATCTACATGAGATATTCATATATGTACGTGAGATACTGCTTAATCAAAAACATTTGGATAAATCTCGGAAAGTGCAAAACACATAAATTATGCTTCGCTAATTTTCCATCATTTAAGCATACGCAAAAATTTCCCAAGCGAAATCTCATTAAATTAAATTTTATAGTTCATGATAGAAAATCGCTAAATAGATAGGAATGTGATATCAAGCTTATATAAAAAGAGCAGAAAAACTATCAACAATCAAAGAGTGGAAAATCATCATCAAATATCATATAAAATGTATCTCATTTTAACATCATCACATCACATCAAATATTCACATATGCATGCAATCTCACGCTATAAAAAGATTGAAAAGTATTATACTAATAAATTTATTTTCATTTTGTCTCAATATTCATATTATTTCTTACTTTGTTTCTATTTCATAATCATATAAAATTGCTTGCGTTGTTTAAGGAGCAAAACAAAAACCTGATGAGTTATTTCATTCTAAAACACGATTTTTCAATAAGTCAGGTTTTAAGTATTAAGTCTAGGATATTTCATACAAATCATCACACATATAATCTTCTGAAAATTTAAAATCAGCTAAATTCGCCCTTCTATAATTTGAAAACAAAAAATAATGAATGGAAAAGTATATTTTCTCCTACAGTCATGAGGATGCAAAAATTCTCACAATTTATAAAACTGAATGCCAATCCACCCACAACATAAATTTATTCATTTAATGTGCAATGAAAGGAGATTTTTCAGATCATTTCGCTACATTAAATGTAGGTTTGACGATAAAAGAAGAGGAACAAGAGGAGATGTAACAATTTCCACACAATGATTTCAATTTGTTATTGCTAAACGACACTGAATAATTCAAGTAAAAAAAAATCGAAAAAGGCAAAAAGAATCGAAAACTTTTAAAGAGGTTAAAAAGTTTCTTTTAATCTAAATTTTCAAACGAGCTAAATCAATTTCCCTCTTGAAAAAAAAAATGAATAAGAAGAATGGAAACTTTTTAAATTTAGATTATAAATAAAAAGATCTTCTTTATATTCCCTCATAAGAAGATAACTATAGGGGTTTTCCATCAGATCCGATTAGTAAATGATACTTATCAAGGTCTTATTTTGACGATATGATTTTATGACGATATAATGGTGGAATAAATTGAAAAGTCAATATTTAATAGCAATGATACATTAATGAAAAAGTGCTTATACAATTTATAAATTCTTAAAAAATTATAATACTGACTTAATATTTTATACTATTTATTTAGCTGTTCAACATGAACGTGGTCCACGACGCCCGAAACTTCAGCAATTGCATTCTCAAATGTCACACCAACAGCATCCCCATCACCATACATACAATCCAATGGCGGTTAATGCACAGTCCTATAATCATCATAACTTACAAAATCATCATGTTAATGCATCACATTTTACTCAGCTAAATACATTTCAGCAACATTCTGGAATTTTACATCATCCACAGCCGTTGTCGTTTGGAACATTACTACATCCAACTCCTATTATGCCTGGTTCCGGAATGAATCAGCATTCATCATTTCCATCGAGTATTGTTTCAAAATTTTCTGACCAGCCAAAGTTGACTTCAAGTTTCGATTTTCCATCAATCAATAGTAATTTTTACAAACCACTTAGTCATCAAATTCAGCAACTATCTCCAACAAATTCGAAAAGTACTATAAGTATCGACTCATCTTCAGCATCGAGTGTCTCTGAGAGAATAATGAGCCCACACTCAACTGTTGACTCACATTCAGGAAATATTGCTAACACTCCACCACCAGTGTCATCGACTCCTCCTAATGTTAATAATACTAATTATGGTCAAAATGTTACATTATTTGAGCCAAAAGTGTCGGCTCAATTTTCTGTCTCATCAACATCATCTATTTCGCCATTACCAAATGCTCCAAATGGAAATTTATCGTCATCAGTAACGAATCAACAAACCACACGAACTAACATGCAGAATGGTTTGTTGGACATTTTAATGTGTCCTGATAAATACCAAGAATTGATACAGTATCATCAAGTCCAAAATTCAATTATTTTTCCATCCTTGCATCATGCTGCGTATCCAATTGATGCATTAAATCCAAGATTACCAACGTGGGAGTTTTTGCAGGTGACATAAATTTGTATACATGTCTATCCTTATGATACATACATATTTTAGTAGGGGCGAGCAAGGGAATTAATTATTTTACAGGGAATTTACTTCTCATCATCACCTTTTGTCTTAATGACTACAATGTATGTATTTTTTAAACTTTTTTCGTTTAAAGGAAACTACAGCGAGATTACTTTTTATGGCAGTTCGATGGGTTCGATGTCTAGTACCATTTCAAACTCTATCTAAGCCAGATCAGCAACTTTTGCTCCAGGAATCATGGAAAGAACTTTTCCTTTTAAATTTCGCCCAATGGAGTGTACCGTGGGATTTAGCATCCTTGTTTGACAGTCCACAAGTTCGTGAACGATTACCAGATGATCCCACAACAAATCTAGAGATGAAAACAATCCAAGAAATTTTATGTAGGTTTCGGCAATTATCACCAGATTCAAGTGAAGTTGGATGTATGAAAGCAGTTATTCTGTTTTCACCAGGTAAATTTATTCTTCTCTCATTTAATTAATTACACTTTTAGTGACAAATATTGTTTTTTTTTTGACACAGAAGCTGCTGGATTGTGTGATGTGCAACCCGTTGAAATGCTTCAAGATCAAGCTCAGTGTATCCTTTCTGATCACGTTCGTTTAAGATATTCACGTCAGCCAACGAGATTTGGTCGTCTCCTTCTTTTACTACCTTCCTTGAGAGCAATTCGTTCTGTAACGATTGAAATGTTATTTTTTAAGGAAACAATTGGAAATGTTCCAATATCAAGATTATTAAGAGATATGTATTTAATGGAAAAATATAATAATAGTCAACAAAATGCAATACAAAACGATAATAACAACAATACAAATAATAGCAATGCCAATAATGTTATCAATCCTGAAGCCTGTTAATATGATTCATTTTATTTGTTGATTTTTTCCACTTTTCATCATGAGTTTTCTTTTTGCTTTTCAATTACATTTTTTTTTCTTTTATAAAGACTGACATTGAACAAAAAATATCCAGAAGCTATGCTTTTTTTTAAAAAAATAAGAAGAAATTTTCCGCTTTTTACCTTTTGGAGGACAAGGCAAAATGTAATTTTATTGTTAATATTTATCTCAAGAAGCATCAAACATAAAATGAATATTATGTGAAATTTTGCATAAGCAATGAATTTTACCTTTGTTTTCTTTTAATTTTTAATAACAACATCATATCAAATAAAAAAAATTAAAATGAAAAAGATTCAATGATTGTTTTTTGTAAAAAGTACAGCCCTTTGAGATTTCAGCTTGTTTTAAAATCTGAGAAAAGAAAATTATTGACAGTAATCGTAATTTAAATTATCTTTGAAATAGTTGTATTCTAATAAGAATTTTTATTTTTTCTGAAAATAAAATAAATTCTTGAATGTTTAAACTTTCACTAAATAATAGATTTTAAAATATTATTAATGCTGAATTGATACAGTGTAAGCTAGTTACTACTATGGATATTAAGTGACAAAATGATGATCTTTATCTATTTCGTAACAAAATTACATTATCAAAATTAATTATTGATATTTACAAAAAAATTGTAATTATACAGTTAAAAAATCATACTTAAAGTTGGTGCCAATTTATAAAAATATAGGAAGATAAAATCTATAGTGGGCAATAAACATCTCTATATTATATTATAATAGGGAAGAAATAAATAAGAGCATATTTGCTTAAAATTTTACATGAAGTGTAAAACTTTGCTTGAAGCCATGACATCTTGTATATCTATTGGTTTCAAAGTTGAACATGATCTGATGTTAAATAAAAACATTGAAAATGCAAAGCAACAAGATTTATTTTTCATATTTTCTATTTTTCTTCTTGTATTTTTCGACACGTTGCAATGTAAAGAACAAAGTGGTCGAAAGGGAAAAAAACGGTATAAAATGAAAAGCCACAAAAGATGGAGAACAACAGAAATATAGTAAGAGAAAAGTTTTTTTTACTATGCAAACAATTGTCTTATTTTTGTACGGCTGAAAAAACAACATCTGTAGGAATCGAGTGAGTGAGAAAATCTTGAAATTTTTCTACATCCATGCACACGAATGACATAAAAGGAGCAAAGCATTTCAAGAAAGATGTTTAACAGGATTATTTTTTTCCTTCTACACATCAAATGCCTTTCTTCCTTTTCACTGCTAACAATTGTGAAAATTAAGTTCTTACGTATACTAAAGACTTTTCAATTTTTATAGAACATTTTTGCTTTTTTCCTAAAATATAAATTTAAAATAAACATGAAAAGACGTTGAAAACATATTTGGAGCAATATTCTTTTGATACTTATTTTCATTTCACTTTTTTATTTATAAAGGGTCAATGATCAAAAAACATTACATTCGTAATTTAATCATTAGCAATTAATAATCGATCAAACAGAAGAAAATATAAAATTTGAGAAAACTCCAGATGCTAATTTTATTTTTATTTCTTTTTCCTTATATTCATATAAAAGAAAAAAGTACATTTTCATCTTCCTACAATTCAAAATAGCACGTAATCACGCGAGCAACATATAATTAATTGTAAATGATTCGCTCCACAGAAAGGGATTATCTTCGGTTAACTATTATTAATATTATTATTTTTACCATCGTCAATATTTTGTAAATTAAATTAAATGTGACAACTAAACAATATTTTTATTTCCTTTTATCGACTATTTTAACAAATACAAGGTAAAAGACTTAGATAAAAATTATACGGTCATGAATTACGTCTCCAAAAATTTGGCTAAAGGGAAAAAACACTGACTGAAGTAGAACAACTCAACAATTCATCACACGCATTGATGCAGTTTAATCCCGAACAGCAAGAGAAGTGAAAAACAATTTACCTCCCTCTTATTCCAGTTCACATATACGCAAAGGTATTAGAGTAAAGTTGAGAGATCATATTATGGAAAACATACAAATAACAACAAATAAATTGTGAATCTCGTGTGAATTTAACACATGTTGCTTTGTAGACTCCTATATTTCATGAGTACCTATATGTACGTTCATTTTTATGTTGAATTTTTTTTTTAAAGAAAAACTTCATTTCCAGAAATACATTTATGTAATAAATAATTGACATTAAACTCATTATTAAATATCTTGCTTTTATTTTTATAGCATCTGAGTCATTATTTTTACACGCAGTTCCATTTAGTTCTATCCTTATCAGTTTTTATCTTTATAGTAGATAAAACATTGTACAAACAAAAACTGCTTGTGTGAAAAAAAAAATTCGAATCCAAAAAATTTGAAATATTATTTTAATTTTTTATTGTTTAAAATGTTAGGAAATTTTTAAATAGCGCTAAATCAAAAGAAGATTAAAGGTTATGACTGGTAAGGGGATGAGTCTTAGTAATTTATCCTTTTTGAAACTTTGTTTGTTTATTAATTTCAGATCAAATGATATATTAAAGATTTTTATAGAAGCAAAAAAAAATGACTCGAATGGATCTACAAATTTTAAAGTTTTTTTTAATCTTTTCATATCTTCATTCCACAAAAGGAATTCAAAGCGGTGACATAGTATTACAAAATGATGCACGTTTTATTGCATCAATTCGACTTCGAAGTTTAGAGCAACAAACAATTGGAATTGGATTTTTATGCACTGCATCATTAATTAATGATCGACATGCAATTACAGCAGCAACTTGTGTAACAAACTTTTTTGCATCTCAATTACAAATTATTTTAGGTGTGGAAAATATTAGCTCCCGTAACTCGAGAGCAGTGATTCGTGATATACAAAGAATGCACTTCCATCCAAATTTTAACCGTACTTCTGAATCGAGTGAACTTAATGGTAACGTTGCAGTTCTTCAACTTTCCATCAGTATTCGTCAATCTCCATCTAGATGGTCAATTTTACAATACAGTAGTATTATGAATTTCCATGTACAACCTATTAAAATAAGTGATTTTATTTTAAATTCATCTTCAATTTGTCAATTTTTTTCATGGAGTAATGATCCAACCAGCTGTAAAAGGATTCCAGATTTACTTGGTACATCTCTTGCTATAGTGAAAAGTGATGAATGTTTGAATTCCGATTCTATATTCTGTGCTCATCGTTTGAATGATTTAAACCCTATACTTTGTGGAAATTTGGGAGGTGCTTTTTTATGTGGAAATACTTTATATGGAATTGCTACTAGAAATGTGTGTAATGAAATTGGTCATTTTGTATTACTACCTTATTACAAACAATGGATATTAGCTGTTTCCAAATCGAACATACTGACAACTCAAAATGCTTATGGAATAGTGTTGATATCAATCGCCATTTTATTACTTTAAAAAATATTGACTTGCTCCTTAAAAATAATCTACTCTATTTTTTCGATATAAACTAGTAGCTAAGTAGAATAAAAATGAATTTTTTTGGTCACTAGTAGCTTACAAACGAATAGCAGCTTAGTAAAGAGAAGAAGCTTAGTAAAGATTCAAAAAAAACCTTGTATTTAAAAAACTATACTAAGCTACTAGTAACTAGTAGTAGCTTATAACGTAGTAGCTTTATAAATTTAAAGTATAAAAAATATTTATATTTTAATTTTTGATAATCTTGTAACATGTTATTTTTTGGGTTTCATCGATTAAAAGGTTCAATGAATCTTTAAAACTCAGAATTTAAACATCAATTTACTGTCACAACAATCATGACACAAGGTATTTTTTTGAATAGAATAAACGAAAATTACATTTTAATATGGTTTAATTTACATTTCAAAATAACCATTATAATCAGCTTATTTGAATTCTAAAGGATAACAAATTACTCCAAACTGGCAAAAGTGACAGATTTTCTCTTTATCACACAAAAAAAAATATGTATTTATATTGTCGCTTCATGATTTGTATCACTTTCTACATTTATGAATTTCATTTTCATCTTTGGTTAATGTGTATTCAGGTCCCTTTACCACTTACCTCATTTTCTATTCGTGTTTGATAAATGGTTCGTGTCATTTTCGTAAAATAAATATACTTTTTCATTGTAAAAACCCCTTAAAAACCATTTGAATACTTATTTTGTATGCGACAAAGCAACTTTGGGATGAAAAAAAAATCCGTAATTACTTACTACAATGGCTTCATTCCACGTGTAAAAAGATGATTCATATTTTATTTTTTTATTCAAACTTTTCATCAACCCGATTTACTAAAAATAAATGAATAACAAATATTTGTAGACTGAAAATGAGAAAATCAAAAATCATTTTCCAATTATGTTAACACTCTCAGATTACGAACTTTCAATAAACAAGGATTAACATGTTTCACATATGGATTGATGAATGTTTTTCATGTATATATGACTCCTTGTCATTTTGCCATGATAATTTGCATTAAATGCAATTAGTGCATGCCAATATATAATTATTTACATATTCAGCTAACTCAAGTTTATAAACATTTAATGACTTACATATTGCCCATTTGCTGTTTAGTCATATTGTCATAGAATTATCATGAACAAATTTTTGGATGGTAATTACAAATATGGTAAAAAGAATTTAATTCATTTAGAATTAAAAACTCAGAAACGAGAGTCAGGTCAGCTTTTTTAAATAAGCATAGAAATTAAATTAATAAAATCTTCTTTTAGCTCATTTGTGATGTAATTATTGTTTTATAATGGTTTATGATTTTATTTATTGTTTCCTTCTCGTCTAAAATATTTATATATTTTTAAAATCTTTGAAATAACAATGATTGTATTTAAAATTCAATTGTAAATAGAGCCAGCATAAATAAGCCCTTGAGATGCAATAAATTTCTTATTTTACTAGGTATATTGAATTTTCCTTTCAAATTAACAATGAAATTTAGTTTTTTATCCTGCCATTCTATAAATATTAGAAGAGTTCTGTGCAGTAAGTAAATAATTGCATAAAAGTATTGCCATCATCTCATATATTTGCAAACCTGGTGCAAACTTTTCATGTGGATACAGTTTATCATCATCATCATCACCATCACTGTCGTCATATATTTCTCTTTATTATTCTGTCCTCTCATCTAACACCTAATGCTGAAATGTTAAGGCTTTTCTAAAAAGAAAGTATGAGAAAAATCACTCGTGCAGGGGAAAATGCCAAAAATCCAAAAAATCAACCCCAAACAACACAAAAACCTTCCACTTTTACTTTTTGTTCTTCTCACATGATGTGTAGATTTAATATTTAATTTTTTCGCTTTTAAGCAGCCTTTTTTTCTCTGGCCAAGCTTCGTGACATGAAAAATGGACTTTTGAAGGAAAAGAATATTATGTATGTTCAGAATTGCCAGTGTGATTCTCAATGGGGCGTGGTTTATTTGAATGTAGAAAATGTTCTGAGAGAGTTTTAAACTGTTTTATACCTTGTAAAGGTAATGTTCTCATAAATACTATCACTTTAGAATTATTGTGTCTTGAATAGATTTTTAAAGTATCACAAAAATGAAAAAAAAAACTATATTTATTCCTTTATTTTACCAAAAAAATCCCCGTATCACTAACGTTAATTAGCATTTTCTCTTCACAAAGGCTTAAAAATATACGGTTTCGCTAATTAAGAGCAATCAATTGTGAAAAACTGAAAAAGGTTGATAAAAGCAATTTAAAAATGCATAAAATAAAAAAAGTGTGACCGTCTCTTTTTAGAATTTACTTTATTGCACAATTTTTTTTATTTCATTATTGATATTTTTGCTAGTATAATTCATACATTTTTATATTTATTTTTATTTTAATAAAAAAAAGAAACAATAAAAGTTGGAGTACAATCGGATAGTTATTTAAATTATGTAATAAATAAATATGCTCAAAGCCAAATAAAATATCACGAGAATAGATAGGGGAAAATCTTTATCTTTTTAAGCTTTTTCTCTTTGGTTTTCTTACGCAAAATAAGTTTTTTCAATCAAGTTTGTTTAAAAAATACAGCCAAACGAATGTTTTTTTTTTTAAATATGTAACTTAAATTACAAGTATATTTAAGATGGTTGTGTAAATTATTATATTAACATAATACAAGCATTTAAATATTTTTATTATTTTTATTATCTGTGAGTGTATATATACATATATATATAATATGTATATATTCATATATGTTATTGTTTTAGCGTAATACATTTTTTTCGTTTCCTTTCATGTCTTTAAATTTACTTCAATTTAACGAACAGTATATTGTGTTTACATGCATTCATCTCTTTGTAATGATCTTGTTTTCGCAGTAATGATTTTAACTATTACTTTTGTATGGATTATGACATCGTATTATTAAAGGAGAAGGACTTGACTATCTCTACATGAATTTTATCATGGTTAATGACGGTTGCTTTATTTTTCTACGGTTTTTAACATGTTTAAATATTTTTTTATCTTTTCCATCTACAGGTTTCCATTTAATAATTTTTTTCAACTAGAATGGATTCTTAATTTTTCTACGATGTGTGATGGAATGCTATTAAAGATACCTTCATAAATTTTGATATTATAGATATAATCGATATAATAATAAATTGTTCTATCAAATTCATCAAATTAATCCATGAGCAATTAAATGCAAAAAAAAAATATTCCAAAAAAAAGAAACGACTATGTATTTTATATTCAAAAATGTCAATCAAATGATTATAAGTTTAAAGTTTTGAAGAAATGCTACGCCTGAGAAATATCAGAACTTTTTCAGTGTTCGATTGATGACTGTCTTAATTGCATGTAGCAGGACTGACAAACTCGAACTGGTTTGAGAATTCGAAGACGAGAAATTTCAGATTCAAAACGACTGCATCTGTTACAAAAAACAAGTCCGCAGTTTCTGCAGTGGTGCTTTCGTTCATAAATTGAAAACCTAGGCAGTAAAAAAAATTTTTTATTGTGTAAATTGAAAATAATTTGTTCTCACTTTATATGACACCCTACACATAGTTCTGCACTATCATCTTTTAACCAGTGATCTGCCATTCCTCTCCCTGGTTGTTCCGCAACACTCCATGAAAAAACTCTTCCACGTGCATCACCTTAATAACAATTAAAATTGTTAAAAAGATAGTTTAAAACTTTAAAATTGCTTAATTTACTAACCGACATATAATGTTCGATGATCTTTAGATACTGCTAGAGCAGTGATACTTGCAGGTTCAGAATTATCCTTTCTGTCATATGCTGTATGCATTGTTAATTTAGATCTAAATACAAGTTGCTTTTGCCATTTGAAACCTGAAGTATAAAATAAATTTTACATTTAGAATTTTAAAACTTTGTGTGATCCTCTATAGTATTGCAACTCACCAGCTCTTAATATATTTTGTTTGTTAGAGAAACGTCTTCCACCTCCACCACCATCGTTATCAATCATAACAAATGATTCTGTTAAACTAGTGTCTGACTTACTTGGTCGGATACCTTTTTCGGAAGAACTGGGAATTTCTTCAAAGTCATCTGGATCATCCACAGACTGCTCAATATGCGAAACACTTCTTAATTTTGCTTCATGTCTTCTTATTCCATCATTTCGGAGCTTAATATTGCAGCTTATATCTTTTAACTGTGTCATTGATTTTGCGGTATTCATTTTACTTTCCACTGACAATAAATTACTTTCTCTCGATTGATTTTCAGGATCACTGCACTCATCCTTCTCAACTTCGTATTGCTTTTTAGATTCTTTAATGCTATCGCAAGCCTCTGACAAGCTTGATTCAGAACCAGATTTTGCAAGTCCTACAAAAATATTGATGGTTTCAAGTTTCCGTAGTTGAAACATTTTGAATCTTTTAAATTTTTTTACCTGCACCATCTGTTGACAAACTCATTTGTTTTACCAACTCAGCTTTTTTCTTAGCCTGTATTTCCTCTTTATTTTGTTCAACTACAACTTCTTCTTCTTCTTTTGCTTCTTCACCCACTTCTGGTTTGTCGTTCGGTATTTGAACATAATCAATTGACCACATCTGTAGAATAAATTAATAAACAAATACGATTGTTTGGATTCTAGGTAAAATTAATTAAGCCCTTACTCTAACAACGCCGTCGGTCGATCCCGTAATAATAACATTTTGAGAATCCCATTCTCGAGTCATAGAGAATGCAACACACAGAATTTGCTGCATACGATCAGCAGAGCCAATGCTTGTATTTACAGTTGCCAAGCAATCTCCATTAATTGACCAAAGATGTAACCATGTTGCACTACAAGTTGCAATTTCACCGGTTAAATCATTTATAGCAACTGCAGCAACAATACCAACATGATCTCTTAATTGTCTTACAAATATAAAACGACTCATATCCCAAACAATAGCAGTTCCATCTCGTGAGCCAGAAACAATAATATTGTATGCAGGACTTGCAGCTAAGCAAGTTACAGCATCAGTATGCCCATGTAAATAGTGTTTTACATTGAGAGATTTATGTCGAGAATCAAGCTCCCATACGGTAACAACGGAACTTGTCCCAGCTGTTATTATTGTCCTTGCATTAGGAGAAGCGCACGCAAGAATTTCTCCCGAATGAGAAGTTGTCTCACATACAAACATTGCTCGATCACTATCGTACATACCAATCCGCAAAGAATGATCTGCAAAACCCCAAGCAATATAACGAGAGAATGTTGGTGGCATTAATACTTTATTTTGTTCAACCGCCAATACTGTTTTATCAGGATGCATTATTTGACCAACTGGACCTTTTAATTCTAAACAAATCATAAAGAAAAAAAAATTATTAATAATTATTTTTCTTCGTATTTGAAGACAGAACGGTACCTTTTACTGGTTGCAAGCTTGGTTTCAAGTTATCCAAATTATGGAAAAACAACTTTTCGATAGGAACAGAACCTGTCGATAGAATTGGTGTTGGGTCAATCATTGAATGTCTTAAAGGATTCATTTTTTTTGAAGGATGTGGCTTTTTGAATAACTGCTTAGGAATTTGACCAAAATTGTTAATGAAACCAATAGTGGCGTTTTTTTTAAGCGGATCATCAATACTGAAAATAAAAATGATTTATTAATAAGATGCTTAATAGTTTTAATCATTAATTAATGCACTTACTTATAAATATCAACATTTCCCTCGTAAAATAAATGATGAAAAACATTAACAGCTTCCACAGCTCCTGAACCTTGTTGTTTACATCCAAAAATTAGATCAATCCACTGATATTTTGGATTTAATTAATTTTTTTTTCTATTTTAATCAATTAATAAGTTAAAGATATTTTGTAAAACTTACCAAGTGTAGATGCTGCGAAACATGATCACATTCAAGTGCCTGTCGATGAATTCTGATAAATTCTCTTGGATCTTGTTTTGCCCATGGAGGGAGAAGAATATCACCAAGAATTTCACCATTTTGCTTAGTTCCAAGATCAAAATTATTTGAATTTACAAGAAATTCCGAAAGATAAAAGAACTCTGGAATCAATTCCTTGACATCAGCCATATTGTGTTTTGAAGCAGAAAGCCAGCCCTCTTTAATACTGTGAAACATTCGATCAGCAAGATCAAAATGTCCTCCTTGTAGACGTAAGAAGTGTTGAGTAAATGGCTCAAGACGAACTAGATATGAGCATACAATCATAGCTGAGCTATAATGAGTACCGTAATGGTATGGCGGAGTTTCCCCTTGTGGATCATCCCATTCACGATACCTCTTTTGAAATTGTTCTAATCGTTCAGAAGACTGAGCGCCCATTGGCTTTGAAAAGTCCCGAAATGTTTTTGGGTTTAAAAAATCTAAATCTTCTGATTCGTAGTCAGCTAAAATCCATGGAAATACTGGATATTGCATAAGGTCATTATAGGATCGTCCTGCTAATGTATTCAAATGCATTAAATACTGAAAATTTGATATTTCACCACGCTATAATTGAAAATTAATAATTTTTTAAAAAGTATTTAAAATTATAATTTTAAAAATTAAAAGTTACCACCCAACGTTGAGTCACAGACGTTTCTCCAATAAGACTACTCAATATTCCAGAAGATTGCTCTACGCTTGCTGTTCTTCGTTGACCAGCAACAGATGATTGAGCATTATCGGCTATTGATGTTGCCAATGCCATAACACGTTGATAAACTTTATTTCGAACTTTTCGTTGAAAACTAAGTAAATAATTGCGGCCATCACCGGAAAATATTTCAAGTGCAATAGGCTGTAATAAATATCTTCGTTTATGGACTTCTCGAATATCTTCATAAGCAAACTTCGAGCATTGACGCAAAGATTGTTGCCGACGTGAACTGCCTGAGGGATTGGGTAAAATCGGTTCATATGTACTGTTAGGCATTGAATCAATATCACGTATTTCACGATTTTTCAACAATGTAAAACCATCGACCACATAGCAATGTTCCTTTCCGAATAAAATCAATCCTTCAGATGTATCCAATCCTTGAATTCTAGCACAACGAAACATGTGCGAAATCTACAATAAAAAATTTTATAATTTTATCAATCGTTTTCATTTTAGCATGAACAATTGGGATCAGCACCAAATGCTACTTACCTTTTCGTTTTCTTCTAGCATCCGTAATAATGTTTGATTATCAGGCACCATGGGAATTTCTTCTTCAACGTCTTCATCAAACTCTTCTCCTGGTTCACTTTGAGCACGATTTAACGTTAATGCTTGCTGTTGTTGTGTTGGTGTTTGTGGTGGTGTATTTTCCGATTTATCAATTTTTTGAGATTCTTGAGTGGAAAATTCAGCCTCACAAAGAACTTTTGTTTGATGATGTGATGTTTGATAGCTCTGGAAATACTTCTTACCATCAAAACTTGTTGCCACTTTATATTTTAGTTGTTTCTAAATTGATGAGAGAAATTTTGTAATTTAAAGTTGTTATATTTGGTTATATTTTTTAAAGATTATCTTACATTATCAGGAAGTTCTAATTCAGCACGATATGGATATTGCTGATAGAACAAATCATTTCGCATTGTCTTTTTTCTCATACGATGTGGACCTTCTGTAGTATCCAACATCCATTTATCAAGAATCGATCCTTTGGTTGGTCCCCAAAGACCTCGTTCTCGAATTAATTCTCCCTCAGACTGTATCCAATCTTGTAAAACATATCGTTGAGTATGTTGAGACATGTGAACATATTGAGCACATCGCATTTCCCATAAATCCCTAACTAAACTGATATGAAGATTTGTCCATTGTAAAGCAGCTTCTTTTTTTACTAATGTTTTTACTTTTGTTCCCTCTTCCTTTTTAACTTTAGTCCTGCTCGCAAGTCGCGTCAAGCCTCCAGTTACTTTTTGTATTTTTGATTGAATTTGATTGTGTAATTCCCATGGAACATGTCTGGTAGCTTTTTTTTCATTGTCTATATATGTATGCCATAACTTTGTAGCAGATTCAATAACTTGTTCTCGTGTTGTTGTCAAATCGGGAGCTTTTGTATTTTGAGTTGGACTTGTCAAAGTAATTTTAAATACTTCTTCAATTGCTGGCTTCTTACAAACATACAACTCTTCCCAAACTCGAAAAGCTGCACCCACTATAAGGTTTCTACCTTGATGATGATTTAACAGTTCGTCACGTGATTCGACCATTTCGTTTCGAGGATTTACATGCCATGTAGTATTTTTTGCATTTGTATCTAATTCTATTTTCATGTTTGCGGTTAGTTGTAGCAAGCAGTATGTTAAACAGCCAATGAATTCTAACTCATGGTTTCCAGCTCCAAAAATTAATAATCGATTTGTTGTGAGTTTGTGTAAGGTATCTAAAACTGCCATTTGCTCTGCTACAGAGTCCGTCGGACGTGATAATAAATAAAGAATTGTTCGATTTAAAGAATGGTGAAGTTGCTCTAGTGATATACTCGAAGTACGTCTTTTTGCTTGTCCTATTAATTTAACAATGAACTCAAATATTTCATGTGCATCTTTTTGTAAACAGCCTTGCCATAGTTTATCAACAATACGGGCGGTAAGATAAAAAACATTCGGAGCAATATTTTGAATATGTGATTGTAAGAGTGGTACAATTGGGAGAGCAGCTTGCTCACCAACAAGCATATCAGCTGCTAAAAGATGATCCATCAAGGATGTTATGATTTCAGTTTGAAATGTTATTTGCATTGATAATTCAGAATTTTCAGGAGATGCATCAATCACCAAATCAATTACGGGTGTCTTTCCAACAACTGTCAAGCTTAATGAATCAATCACGATTACGCGAAGTAAATCAATGACGAATTTTCGAACAGGATGCTCTGTGAGATTATAGTTTTCAGCACGACTTGTTGAATATAAAATAGGATTTTGTGTAACATCACCTTCTGGAGTTGATGCATTACTCTCACTATCTTGATCGGTTTCCAAAGGAAATAAAATAGCAACAAGTGCAGAGATGACTTCTCCGAGCATAAGAACGGGCATAAAATCAGGCAAGTTATGATACAATGAGAAAATTACTTGAATTATTGTCACAGGATGATTTTTGAGCCATTCAATCTCATAATTTGAATGTACAATAGTTCGAACAATAGTCAAAAGCACACACACTGCTTCAGGGCAGAGAACAACTTTTGGACTATTTGCACTTGATGAAACGGGTCCTCCCCACAAGAATGCCCAAACTCTATCGAGATCAAGTTTCGTGTGCTCCGTAGCTAAAAGTTTAACCGGTTGTCCCATTATTAATGCAGTTAGCAGAAAGTATAATTCGGGCACTTCCAGGTGGTTTGGTAAAATCCATTCTAGATATTGAAAGCCATTTATTGTAAGAGCTTGTATTTTTACTTCTCCAGCAATTTGCGATGGTAAAACAATCCCAGGTTGTGCTACGAGATTACTTGACTGACTTGCGGGACTCGGTGGTAATTGAGAAGAAGCCAATACAACAGCATTTTTATTTTGTGAAATCAATTCTGTATTTCTCAAGTATCCACCATTCATTGTTCCTTCTCGAAATCTTGTCATTAATGTCTCATTTGCTAACAAAACAACAAGAATTCTCATGCTCCAAACAACTGTTGATGGATGAATATGTGGCTGCATAAATAGAAGTATCCAGTCGAGTCCAAGAATTTTAGAAATTTCATCACAAATTATAGCATTTACTGTATTGCGAATTGTAAAAAGCAGTGAATGTAAAAGCGATAAACATCTATTCCTTAAAATTATATTTCTTATTCCAATCGTTATTCCAAGTTCCGAGTCATCAATAATTGTAAAATCTTTATTTGATACTAAGTGTTTTAAATCAATGATCTTTTCATTTTCAGCACCATTCGAAAGTTTCGCTGTTATAAATTGACCGAAGTGTAACAAATCAACTAAACGTGGTTGCCCACCAAGCAATATTGACAATAGAGAATATAGAATTTCTCTTGTTGAATTTTCTGTAATATCACCAATTATATGCAAAAGTTTTGACACTAATTGCAATTCCCTCATAATTTTAATATTTGCCCGTTTTTCAGCAGACTCCGATACTAATTCCAACAGATGCTCAAGCAGCGATCTTAAAAGTCCATTAGGTGCATTCAACCAAATTTCTAAGTCACATAAGAGATCTTGAAATGCTGTTATATTTGGAATAGCAGCAGATGTCTCTTGACCAGAATTTACAGTACCGACCAGACTGAATGTTAAATGTAAAATATGTGAATTTAACAAGTATCTTTTCTTCTTGAAAAACATTGCTAAAGTTTGATAGCATCGCTTTCTGTCCATTTCTGCTTGTGCTGCTTTATTACTTTTTACAACACACGTAAGGGCTTTGACACCTGCATAAAGACTTTCAACATCTTGTGACATTGCGATAATTCCTAATAATACATTACATCCACCAACAGTTCCCATCATTGATGATACAGGATTTGGACTGAAAACCCTTACTCCTAAGTATCCTACTACTACACCACCTAGGGTTCTTGCAGATCCAGCAAGATGTCCTGCTGAATTATGAAGTATACGTATAGGCGTTGCGTTCTCATTGGAACTCATTCCAAGCTGTTTCGCAATCATTTTATTGTCATTTCTACTGTAAACTTTTCTTATCCTTGCTAAAGTTAATTGACTCATTGCTTTCGCATTCAATCCAAATGTAACTTTTTCTTCCGGCAGCAAAGGACTCAGGGGATCAAATTGTTTTTTTATCTGTGGTGCTTGAAGTGATCCCATATAATGAGGTCCTAACTGGAAAATTATCGAAACCGTTTGTGATGTTAAAACATCTTCCAAAAGATGACAAACTCCTTGTTTCCAACACAATCTTGAATATCTTCGCCAAGCTGGTGGAGTACCAATTATAGCATAGACTGAATTGGTAGCGTTTATACTACTATTAGTTGTTCCTCCTGGTGTTTGCGAAATATAGTGAAGTTTTTGTGTATGCATATGCTGTCCATCAAGAAATAATGAAAATGTCGAATTTTTCAAAACTGCTCTATTTAAAACAACAGCAAGATGATGCCATTGACCTTCGTGAAGTACATCAGGACACCATATTCTTGCACTACAATCTCCAGTTCCATCAGGCTCCCATTCACCAATATCTGTAAAATTGGTAAAAAAGAATGTAATCGGTACTCAAAAAATATAAAGATTTTTATGTTAATTTACTTGGAGGCAATAAAGTTTCTTGCGTAGAAACAATTATAGCTTTATCTCGCGCTGAAAGCAGCACCGACAAACACACAACATTATCTTCTCTTAAATTATTGACGATTCTAGTTACTGTTAAAAGTCGAACACAATGAGGGTCTGTTCGCGGATCAGAAAACTTATCAACCTGAAATATATAGTTTATTTATTATATTTTAATATCATAATTGTTAAGCATGTTTCTTACGCAAAACCAGGTTGAATAAGTAACACCTGTTTGAGGAGGAAAAATTCTTTCTCCAGTTCCAATGCCTCCAATTGTTGTTCCAGATTCCATATTACTATTTCCACCCATAGCCGGTGCTTGTGGTGATATGCTTGGAAGATACAAACATCCGAAACCTTCCGCTGACATATCAAACTCAACAAATGGTGGTACGGTACAAGAACCATGTGCTCTAAAGTCTCTAGGCGTCGTCATTGAAACCAGTGTTTTAATTCTGGTTAAAGGAATTGATGATCCTATTTTGTATGGTTTTCCTACTTCAAGATTTTCGCAATGCAATGGAGATGCCAGACGTAAAAATTCTCTCAATTCAGTAGGCTTCAGTGCTTGCGCTGCTAATCTCTCGAGAATATATTGGAGAGGAACATGTAAAACATTTTTTTCTTCACTTAAAACTGTTTTACCAATTCTTAATAAATGGCCAGCTAATCCTGACTCACACATAATTTGTTGATTTCTTTCACTTCTGACAAGACTTTTTATCACTTCAGCTAAATATGCTTGCAAGCATTGGCCTTGTGATATCTCTGTTTCATGTTCCACAGATGGTAAGAGCTGCAACATACAAATCACAATTCCCGGATGAACAATCAATGGTTCTGGCATTGGTTGTGTCAAATTCAATGATGATACAGCATTTCGTGGATCAGCTTTTTGGATTTTATTACTGTCTGTTTTTGATTGATTTGTTAGAGAAATATTCATGACACCAGATAAATTTAGTTTTTCAAAATTATCAAGTACAAGATCATAAAGAAATCGATAAATCAATGTTGCAAAAGATAAGGATAATGGGTATTTCTTTAAAAATTCAGGCTTTGTTAGACTTCCAGTAAATATTGTTTGATAGTAATTGTCAATATTATCAACAGCCTCTATACTTTGTTGTCTGTCATTAAATATAGTACGGTTTGTGAAACATCCAAGTAAACGAAGGGTATCACAAAGAGATGTTGAACAAATTTCTTGAGCAAAATGCTTTGCATTTGCTGGCTCAAATCTCATTGATGTGGCCAATGTTTGAAAAACAATATGTAAAAGTTGAAGTAAGTTATCAATATGAATTTTCCTTTCATCGTTTACTTCACTATTGAGAACAATATCAGAAGCATCTGACAATTTTCCATCAAGTGACACAAATACACTGGTTACATACACAAACCCACCCACTTTTCTAAATACTACACGAGTACGATGAGAATCACGTAAACAGCCTAATACAGTTTTCAATATTTGAATTTTCAATTCTATGTTATATGCTGGAGCTGAATGCATTGTTGTTAATATAAATAACATGTCGTCCTCTCCACTATTTGATAATATAAGTTCTCTAATGATTCCCAAGACAGAATCTCTGCAATGTTTGAATTTAACCATTTCGTGAATCGTCTTGGCACCACCTGATTCTCGAAAAACATTACTATTGTTGTTATTGCTGCACATAAGAATTGTTAATGCTTCAAGGATCAATTTTCCTAGCAATTCATTACAATCTGATAAAAGCTCTTTTACTTTTTCTTCGTGATTGATGTCAGCTTTTGCATACTGGTTCTCTAAATATGTGCAATATCTATTTAAACAAGTTACAAATACTTCTAAAATTCCAACCTCTCTATAGACGTCCTTAAATATTGTGTTATGCTTGAGAATGTTGAGCAAAGTCTTGAAACATAAAATACTACAGGATATGGAATGATTTGATTTTAGCAATATTGAGAGAGATATTAGCTCTTTGCATGGTACGAAATTAAGTTGAAACACGATAAACTCCAAAAGATCAAATAGTTTTTCTTGAATCTCAGGACTTTTCTGATGAATTTTTTCGGTAAATTGACTTAGTGTATTTTGTGATTCTAGAATGAAATAGTTTGCATTGTCTGAGTGATAAACACTAGATATAGCATCCAAAATTGTGCAACACAATGACGGTGAACTTGATTTTAAAAACACATTTTGAAGAACTTGAAATGCATATACATTCCTCACTGATGTTCCTCGAGACGTTGTTTGAGGCATTTGGAACCCTTGCATTTTGAATAAAGATCCTGTTGAGTTCGGATTTGGTTGAAGTTCTTGAAAACCACACATACATAATGATGCTATCATAAAAACGAGATTTCGAATAGCAGCTTCTGTTTCACTGCTTTGGTCTTTTTCTTCAATTAGTTTAAGCAGAAAATCAGAAATGAATGCATATCCTTGACATCCTTTGAAATCTTCCAACAACTTAGGAGAAACGTCACTTGAATCTTTGAGGAAGCAAAAAATTGCAACAAACATTTCTACTACCTCCAATGGAGTCAATTGAGGAGATCTTTGCATATTATCAATAGAGAGAGCCACACATCCTTTTTCATGTATGTATTTGACAACAGGCTCAGTTAAACCATGTCTTGATATTGTTGTTAAAACTTCTGCAGCAGATTTTCGCCATACCATGTTATATGTTGGACATTGTGATGTAATTGCCGAGAATAATAGAGAAAGATCATCTACTCTTGCAAGTTCTTCGGCTGCATATTGATGAGAACACAACCGAACTAGTAATTGTATGAAAATTTTCTGCAGTAAAATTCTTCTTTCTCTTGGTGTAAAATCGCATCCTTCATTAGGCTGATTTTCTTCATCATCAGTTATATCGGGTAAATCAAAAAACAAATAGAGACACTTTACTAAAGTCGATGGAACAGATGCTGATGTCATGGTTTGTATAATTGATGCATCTCCTGCAGCAAGGAGGTTTAGTGCTGACAATAACATCCAACCGTTGGAAGATTCTTCATAATTTTCAATTTCAAGAAATTTAACTATAGCAATAGATGCTGCTTCTGTTGACTGATTACTTGCTCGTCTTCTGATTTCTGACACCATTAGCCTTGAAATTTGTTGACAAAATGCAAGGATATCCCAAAATTTTTCATTCATTTCACCTGAATGGCACGTCCCAAATACTTTACAAAAAAGTGGTAACATATTATAAAGTTTATTATCACGATCCTGTTCGCTCAAAGGCTCTTTTGGATGTGTAAGTTCATTAAACAATTTTTTAAGGTGCATTAGCCCAAGTTGGTTTTGAGATCCATCATTTGCTTCGTTGGAATTATTCGATGGCGAATTTCGACCACCTCTTATTTTCCTCATGATATTCATTTTATTGTAATTGAAAATTAAATTATAATGTAAAAGATGATTTTCACAAAGAACAAGTGCTGATTAATCTAAAAATATATGAATAAACATAAATATGAATTAAGTTTATGAACCAATGCAAAAATATAATTTAGTCAATTTTCTGAGGATGATTCATCAATTAGAACTTCTGGTTAATATACTTAGTACCAGCTTAAATTTTAATTACGTATCTGACAGTGAAATGATTAATGTTTTTCACATTTAACCGATAAGTTATCATTTTCTGTTAACAAATAAATCAAAAATTTTCCTCTTGATATAATATTTTCCATTTTGGTTTTATCGATTTTTCCTACGATTCAGATTATACGTACAATTTAAAGTTAATTTTCTCATGGAATTCAAAGTTTCTGTAATTCATTTTGTTTCATATTGATTATATTCCTTTTTATTGAAACATTACGAAAGTTTTTACAAATTTTAAATTTCTTTAACTGTTAATATTTTTCATTTTGTAAATTTTCTTATTTTCTTACAGGAATTCACTATCAATAACTTTTTGTTTACGAAGGGCGACAACTTAGAAATTTTAAAAATATATATAAATATGTGTGTATATATATTTTAATGTTTTATAATTTGCGGAGAAATTTAAAACGCAAAGAAAAATTTAATTTATTTTACAAAAGGTTTATAAAAAATAAGCTTATTTCCATTTATATTGAATTTAAATTTCAAATTTTAGCTGCATTTAGTGAAAACAAACTTTAACGATCGCTTTAATTTTAAATGTTTTGTTCGTTAGAAGTATTAAATAAGTTTTTTGCAGTTTGATAAAATTTAAAACTTACTTTTTGGAATGAAAAAACCAAGATTTAATTTTTTGTAAGTTTTAATAAATTTGAATTTAACTTAGAAACTTCTTTTTCAATCAAATTTTATTTTTATAAATCTTTTTTCTTTAAAAAAATAAACTTTTTTCTATAACGTTTGAAATTCGGAAAGATATTTCCATCATTGTTATTGCAAGTGCTAATAATATTTATAGAAAAATGCTATTTGTCGATATAAATAAAATCTGACATATTACTTCCTTAATGTTCTAATGGTTTTAGCAAATGTACCCTTTTCATTTGTATTTTTATGAGTACTTTCAACCTCATATATTTTTATCTGCCTTTGCTCTGATCTAAAAACAACATCATTATAAAATGCTATAAACACTAGATCTCTATTTCTTTTGTTCCTTTGCTCCCTCTTTGTTCTTCGTGCACTTTGTAATTTCTTAACTCATTGAGAAAGATAAACAATCTACAATTATTTTTTGAAAATGATTTAAGTATGTTACTGCTAAAGGTTTGAGCACTGCTTACTTCCCGAATTTAAAATTATTATGAATGGATACAATTGGAATTGTTTTCTCGTTAATCAAATGAGATGATTGTGAATATTTAATTAATTTGTTTATGCTAAACAAGATGAGCAGGAAAAAAAATATAATAACAAGAAGGAAAGTAAAATCTGTCATTTTGAAAATTGACAGGATTTGTTTAATAACTGTGGAACTTCTTAACTTTGATTATAACATTTGCATTTAGATTTTCATTTTTGTGATAGGATCTTAGAATTATGAGTTCTCAAAGAACTTTGAATTTAAAATAAAATCAATTAACAATGTAAAATTGTTGATTTTAACATTCTTCTTGATGGCTTATCCATCATATTCATGCTAAACATAGAATTTGAAATTATTTAAAGATAAATAAACGCAAAATTATTCTAGAAATTTGATTCCTTACTAGTAATGGTAAGTATCTCGAAGAAAAAAACAACTTGTTGCTTTAAAATGAGATTTTTAAAACGAAACATGAAACTCTGAAATGTCTTTGAAGATCACAATGGTTCTGAACATACAATATTTGATTTCATTTGACATATAAAGTGCAGATTTTTTTAAGGAGAAAAAAATAATAAGATTAAAATCGTTAGCTTTGAATTTAGATATACTTATTGTGAAATATTTTTTGAAGAAAAAGTAATGAAAAAACACACATATAGAGGTTTTGTTATGGAAACACATTATTATTTTGTTTTCATAAAAATTATTGAAAAAAATCAAAAATATTATTTTTGAAATACGTTTGCACATTGGTTTAAAAAAGACTTTAAATTGAAACATATGTTTTTAAAAACTAAGTTCATCCTTTATGGAACAAACTGGATGAAAAAATATCGATCTACAGTGCCGAATCGATTAACTCGAACGACTCTCCATGTGTCGCTGTTTATTGAATTTTTTCGATGACACGAAAAAAAAATTCTACAATTTTATGTACTTTATGCATGATTGAATAAATTAATAAAATGTGTTATTGCTGTTTTGCTACATGCATCCAATTAGTTCGTTTCTAATTCGCAATGTTTTATCATCTTTCCGTATAAGTCCTAACGGTCATTTAAATTTCATTAGAATATTGTAGCGTAAAGTTAAAGCTATGAGATCATTTTTTGCAGAAATAAAATTTTTGATAAATGCGAATTCCAGTGGGACAATAAATTTATTTTTATTTCTTCTAATACGGACTTATACGTGTTTCAAACTCACGTTCTAGTAATGGTAAAATGCTATGTTTATGTGCAATTTGTGTTAATTAAAATTTTTCCTCTTCCCCATAGTTCTTTTGCTCTCTTTTTTGTGATATTTTCGCGTGTTTTTGAATGAAAAATGTATGGGTATTATTTAGGCAATAGTTTAAATGCACATGTTTTGAAAAAATTATATTTTACACATCTGCAAAAAGTTTTTTGTGCTCAATTAACAAAACTCGAAGATCTTAGAAAAAAAAAATCGTTTTTGAATTTGAGTTTAACAAAAAATTATGACTTGACATTAGCATTTTAAATGATTCAAAGAAGAATATTCATGGAGTAAAATTCTTCTTATATTTTATTCCCAAATGGGGTATTAAAATTATAGTGGCTAACCAATTATTTTTGTTATTAGTATTCAGTACATTAAATTAAATTAAACTAATCTAGTTTTTAATTAATTAAATTGAAATTGTCATTTTTAGAATTGCAAAAAAAAGATGGGTAAAATATGAGCATATGCCTTCCTTCATTTATGCAACAATATATTAAGTTTTTATTATATGGATCTTTCTTAAAAATGGAAGAAAAAAAAGCAATAAATGTTTTTTGCTAAAAATGAGTTTATCGTTAACAAATCTAATGTCTAGAATTTTTTAATATTATAATAACAACTTACTTTGAATATGTAAGTAAAATGACATTGAATTCATAACCACTAATCTAAAGATTAAACAAAAAAAAATCGTTGATATTTGCGAAGCCAATTCATTTTATTATGCCAATTATTCAATTGTAAGTTATTAAGTTTTAGAGCAATTAATTTGTCCTAAATGAAAAAAAAAATTACGAATACAAGACGAAAAATAATAAAGAAATTTCAATTGCTTCAGAAAACGACTCTAAATGTTCTCTTGATAGTTTGCTTCATTTGCTTCCATAGTGCTCGAGAAATTTTTTTAAATTGTTTGAAATAACTTCAAGTTCTGATTAAGATCTGAATTATTTCTGCCTTTCAAAATATTTTTATTACTAATTTTTTAAAAAATTTATTCATTTCATTTTTGATCCTTTTAAGGACATCAATAAAAAACTGTTTGTTTCTAATATAAAGTTAACATTTTTTTTAAAGACATGTAAAGGTATAGAAATTTCAATACTTTTTGGAGCTTAGAAATTTTTTTTTATTTCTTAATTCATTTAAGAGTAAGATTCTTGTAGACAAAAGGGACATACTTTTAACAAGGAATATTTCGTGTTTTATGATCCGACCGCTGATAATATAAATTGGTGCTGACTCATCGTGAGGAGAAACAACGAAAACAAAAAAAAAACGAATAACAGCGTTGGAGGCAAACTAATGCGCATGAAGATAACAGAAATATTGTAAGGATCCCAATTCTCTATAAAATGTTTGTTTACTCATGAGAGCAATTAGAAAACTCTCAAAAACTTTTTTTTCGGTATTTGTCTTTTCTTCATCATAGGAATTCAGCCTACGTAGGAAAAATTTGTAAGTACTTGTAGTATAAATCCACATTTTTATGAGTTCCTTCATTCTCTCACTCTCATTTCTACATTATTTTCTCTCAATTTCTCTGGTTCTATTCTCATATTCTCAAATAGACTGGCGCAATTAAATTTAGTTCACAATTCAATTTTCCTTATTTCTATATACAGTTTCAGTGTTGGATCGGTTCTTTTAGGTTGTAGCACGTGGCGCTCTCGCTTTTCCGTTTTATTTCTCAAATAATCTCGTCAAAAAGAAAAAAAAAACTAGACAAGAATATAATTGAAACAGGGAACATGCATAGACTTTTTCGTGTGCGTAACTGACATTATCATATTAAATGGCAATTTTAAAATCAAATGCAAATTAATTCAGACATTGAAAAAAAAGAAAATTAAAATTTAATTCGGTTTTATTCAGTACAAATATACTTTTTATATTTAAATTTCGAATGTGTGGATTTTTAATGCGATTAAGTGGTTTCTCATCTGAATGAAGGAATAAAATTAATTAAAAACATTGTTACATTAATTGAATCGTACACCATCATCTAATTTGTTTCCATATCAGCTTATGAATTTTGTAGACATGAATGTTATAATGTGAAAAGTCAAGTCAATGTTTATAATGATGTTGATGGAAAATTCATGAAATAATTTACCAAGTGAAATTAATGAAAATCACCGCAGTGTTTATAACATGTATTGATAATGAATATAAAATAACCCAACTTCAATATTTTAATAATTGCAGTTAATCATGAAACATAAATTAAGTAAATAGATATTCGCATTAATACAATTTTCGTTAACAAGAAAAGTTCATGTGGAATTTCAGCAATCTGGCAAACTGGATTCTTTTAATGCAATAAATTTCTAGAGACACGAAAATAACGACTAAACAACAGCTTTTATTAGTAACATAAACTATTGTTAAACTTGATCGTTCAAATATATCAAAAAGTTTCCTGAATAGCATGTGATTAATGAGTTTCTGAACAATTTGAAGTTTAACGCGTCAAACAAAAGTCGATATATTTTGACACACGCCGTTAGCAAAAATTGACATCATATTTATATCATAATCATTGTATTCTGCATGTGGTATAATATTCACAACTGAAATATATATTTATGAAGAAATAGAAAAAATACTTTAAAAAAAACTTTTTTTAAAAAATCACGCTTTTATTTCCTATTACAGAGCACTAAAAAGGAGAAAATAATTTTTTTTGCTAAGCTCTCAAATTTGATACAAAATTTTATGACTCAAAATAAAAGCGTGGGGCGTTAAATATAAACTAGCTCTAGATTTTCCAAAATTTATTTTAAATCAGTTTAATTATCCATTTCTTAATTCAACTTTTGTATTAAAACGAAAGACCTTTTAAAGATTTGATCTCAAATTATTTTTTGACACAAAGGAACTAGTTAGATTTAGCAGGAGAGTAAGACTTGATTTC